GATAAGATGTTGGTTGAAAAAGGGAAAAAGAAAAATTCGAAAAAAAGTTAAAAAAAATTAACTTTGAAAGACCAAAGAATCATGGGAAAAAAGCCATGAATTCTATGTGCAGTATTCCCCTAGCTCTGGAGTTCTGCCATTCTCCTTGATCGGTAAACTTGGTCTTGGCTGGTTGTTCTTGCTGATGTTTTGGGGGAGGGGCCTGTTGCCGTGGTTCCCAAATGTTTTTGCCAGAGGCGGAATTGCCCCACCCTTGCCTGTCCGGGCTAAGTAATCTGCTCGGGTTTGCTCTCGGGAGCTTTTGTTCCCTGCAAGCTTTCTGTACAGCTTTAGAGGACGAGAGAAAATGGCGGCCTCCCAATCTCTGGTCCTGGTGGAGCCACGAACTTGGGTTCCCACTCCTCAGTGAGCCCACAGATAAAAGCAGTCAGTCACTCCCGTCTCCCCAGTCTCCGTGCTCACCTGCCCTGTGACCGAGCATTTCTATCTCTGGCACCCAACCCCATGTGGAGTCTCCAAACCCAGCAGATCCCCACAGTGAGCTCCTGCACCGCCCCTCCCTGGGGGAGGAAGGGGAGCCTCCCCAGATCTGCCGCTTGTTGGGTCCTTGCTGGAGGAGCAGTGGCCCGACTGGGCTGCGGATCACAGTTTATGGCAACCCCAAGCTGAGAGCCCGCACCTCAGCTCCGTCTCTGCAGCCAGCTTCCCCGCTCCAATACCTGGGAGCTCTACCACACTCAGGCACCCCCGGTCTTTCTGTGACCCCGAGGGTCCTGAGACCACACTGTCCCAGAGAGGGTTCAACCCCCAGCTTAGCCACTGGAGCAATGTCCCTCAGCAGAACTGACTTCTAAAATTTCCGATTTTGTGCTCCGCGGCTCTGTCACTTGCCAGTAGCAGCTGATGGAGGCCCCCTCCCCCGCCGTCTATCTTCCTGAATATCACCTCGGATTCACTTCTCCACACGTCCTACCTTCCAGGAAGTGGTCACTTTTCTGTTCAGAGAGTTGTTGCTATTCTTTTCTTCGATCTCCTGTTGAGTTCGTAGGTGTTCAGAATGGTTTGATCCCTATCTAGCTGAATTCCTGGGACCAGACAAAATTTAGGTCTCCTAGTCCTCTGCCATCTTGCTCCTCACTCACAATAACTTTTTTCAATTGGATTTTTTAAATTTCTTTCATCACTCTATTGAGGTTTTCATGGCACATGTTTTTCACCTCCTTGGTTAAATTTATTCCTAAACATTCTATTCTTTCTGATGCTATTGTAAATGGGATTGTCTCCTAATTCCCATTGTTAGTATGTATAAACACAATTCATTTTCATATGTTTATTTTGTATCCTTTAACCTCATTTAACCTATTTGTTATTTCTAATAAAGAAGGAAAAGTCATCCAAATAAGAAAAGAGGAAACTAATCTTGCCATATCAGGCACACTAGGGCGTTAGCCCTCAGCTGCACTGAGGGACATCCCCATTACAGATGTCACATCTCTGTACAACTCCTCCATCGTATGCCCTCTGCACTAGTTAAATTTAGGTCATCTGAGAGACTTAGCGCCTTAGCTTCAGAGAATGATCAGTAACAAAGCATCTGGACTTGGCCTTGCCTTTACCTCTTTTCTTTATATCAAAACCTGGTAGTTTACATCTTCTAGACATCCAATATCTACTCACAGCACAGAAAGTCTGCTTCCTATGTTCATCTGATGGTTACATATTATTAGCATTTCTACATTCTACAGGTTTTTCATAAATAATTTTTGATCATTTGTGATTAAATTTCACCCTCCTAAATCACCTGACAATTCAATGGTAGCAGTACAAATAACTACACATTTTGTGTGGGAGATCTGAGTTCTCATTTCCAAAGCAGGCATGAGACAACATGAGGACAGCTGTCCCTATACCTCCTCTCTAAGTATGGTTTGGATCCTAATGAAGGGATTGAAGATAATAAAGAATTCTCCATTCTGTCATATTGTAAACAGTCTAAAATAGTCTTTCCCGCTGGTTAATGGCATGTATACTTACTGAGAGAGGGGTTATATGATGTGAACCAAATCCTCATTGCAAACTCCCTTGGATGGCTACAATCCTGCCTTTCATTAGAGAGCACCATCTTACACCAGGGTCCCTTGAAAACAGAGGCTGAGGCCAACATTACAGGTGATAACACTTAAGGGGGGAAAGGCGTGAAATACAAAGGAAGCAAGCATGAGAGGCAAAAGGAAAGGGAAATCAGTCAGGGAAGGAGGAAAAGGAAGCACAAGATGGTAGGTTTTTAGGGTGGCCACAACTTCACAGGAAAATAGGCTTTTCTCATTCTATGGAACATCTCTGAGGAGCCCTTACAGAAACACCGTATCTCCAAATAGTCCATTACATTGGTGGAGAGGGCTAGCAATTCATTGGCAGCCTCTTCCCTATCTCCTTTTTCTGTGAAAAATTGCCACATAGGTTCATATATTCTTGCATTTCTGGATTGTGTTACCTGAACCCTTCAGGCAACCTCTGGAAACCCATAGCCTCTGAGGGATCTGGTCAACCTGGGCACTGGATCTGCTGAAGCTCCTGCCAAGGTGGACACAATGAAGGCCATGCCAAAGTCTGGCCACTGTACAGGTTATGATGACCTAGTTTTATAACCATGGGTATACAACATGTGTTGCTGGGGCTGTGCTTCCTGGGAATTGGGCAAGCATCCAGGTGAGTGAGACAGATGGGGCTGAGAGACCAGAGAAAGCACATAAACCAGGTCTAGCACACTGCCCAATGATGCAAGATGCTCAAACCTTTTATTAAAACTTTACAAGCTTTTTAGGTCTCATATAGGTAAAGATCTATGTGTGACAACAGGATTAAAAGTTTTCACTTAAGGGGCACCTGGGTGGCTCAGTCAGTAAATGGTCTGACTTTGGCTCGGGTCATAATTACAGGGTCCTGGGATGGAGCCCTGTGTCAAGCTCTGCTCTGAGTGGGGAGTCTGCTTCTCCCTCTCCCTCTGCCCCTCCCCCTGCTCATGCTCTCTCTCTTTCTCTCTCTCAAATAAGTAAATAAATAAAAACACTTTCACTGAAGAAGGCAGGAAAATAAAAGCAGTCATACTCAAAACAAGTAGAAGGGAGAAAATAATAAACATAAAAGATGAAATAAGATAAAAAATGGACAAACATAAACAAATCAATGAGACAAAAATCTGGTTCATTGGCAAGATCAATAAAGTTGATAATCTCTAGCTAGACTCATCAAAACAGAAGAACACAAATACAACAATATCAAAAACATAAACAATATCAGAAAAAAACTAACAGGATCATCGATCCTACACACAGTAAACAGATAATAAGGGAATATTATTGTTATGGGTTGAATTGTATCCTCTGAAAAGATATGCTTAAGTTCTAACCCCTGCACCTATGAATATGACCCTGTTTGGAAACAAGGTCTCTGTGGGTGCAGTCAAGTTGAGATGAGGTCATTAGAGTGGGCTCTAATCCAATATGGCTGGCCTCCTTATATGAAGAGGAAACTGTACGTAAAGACAGGGATGCACACGGAGAATGCCATGTGATAACAGAGGCAGAAAGTGAGCCATGCAACTGCAAGCCAAGTAATGCCATGAATCAATGGCCACCATGAAAAGCCAGGAAGAAGCAAAGAAAGATTCCACCCAAGTCTCAGAGGAAGCATATTGACACCTTGGTTTGGACCTCTGTCTTCCAGAACAGTGAGAGAAGAAATTGTGATGGCTTTAAGCTGGTGAATTTGTGGTACTTTGTTACAACAGCCCTAGGAAATTAATACAACTGTGAAAACACTAAAACTATACATTTGACGATTTAGGCAAAATCAATAAATTCCTCAAAAGATCAAAATTATCAAAATTGACAAGAAACAGGGCCTCTGACAAGGGGCCTGACTTGAAATAGGGCCTCTATTAAAGAAATGATATTCCTAATGAAATATAATCTCTCAAAGAAAATTTCAGACACAGATTATTTCTCTAGTACATTTGAGCAAACACTTAAGGAATGAAAATTCAGATGCTACCCCAAAAAATCGATGGATATTCAGAAACATCCCAGATGAATACATAGGCCAGTATTTCTCCAAAACCATGAACAGAAAAAGATTTTTAAACAAATTAGGGGCACCTGGGTGGCTCAGTTGGTTAAGCATCCAACTCATGATTTCAGCTCAGGACATGATCTCAGGGTCATGAGATGGAGCCCTGCCTTGGGCTGCTGGCTCAGCAGGGAGTCTGCTTCTGTCCATTATCCTCTCCCTTTACCGCTCCCCTGGCTCACACATGCTCCCTCTCTTAAATAAATATATCTTTTTTATAAATAAATAAATACATAAAATAACACACCAATATCCATCATGAATATTAGTACACAATTTTTAAGAAAATATTATCCAAGCAAATCTACCAATATATAAAAAATGATAATAAATACAATATGACCACATGGGAATTACCCAAGAAGTGCAAGTTTTGTTTAACATTGAAAAACCATAGTGCCATCTATCATATTATGAATATAAGAGAATATCTATATAAACATCTCAAGAGATACAAAAATTTATATAACAAAACTCAATTTCCATTCATAGTAAAAGTCTCAATTAACAGGAATAGAAGGGAATTTCCTCAACATGATAAAGAGGATCTCCAAAAACCTGCAGCAGACCTGACATATAAGAGTGAAAAACTAAATACCTTTTTTTGTAACATGGGGAATAAGACAAGCATGACTCCTAACACCACTCTCTTCAACAGTGTACCAGAGGTCCTAAGCAGTACAATAAAGCAAGAGAAAAAAATGAAGGAAAAGAAGAAGTAAACCTTTTTATATTTTTTTAAAAGATTTTATTTATTTATTTGAGAACACTTACAACTTAAGAAAAGATTGAACAGGGGTGCCTGGGTGGCTCAGTTGGTTAAGCGTCTGCCCTCAGCTCAGGTAGGATCCCGGGGTCCCGGGGTCCTGGAATCAAGCCCTGTGTCGGACTCTCTGCCCAGTGGGGAGCCTGCTTCTGCTGCTCCCCCTGCTTGTGCTCTCTTGCGCTTTCTCCCTGTCAAATAAATAAAATCTTTTTTAAAAATAAAAAAAGATTGAATGGACACTTCAATAGGCAAAAAACTAAACAGACACTTCTGAAAAGAAGATACACAAATGGCCAATAAATACACAAGAAGATGCTCAATATTATTACTTTTCAGGAAAAGTAGTTCAGGAATGAATTACTGACACATGAAAGAACATGGATTTCAAAAACATGCTGAGCAAAAGAAGTTAGATACAAAAAAGTACATGATTATGAATTCTAGAAGAGGCAAAACTAATTCATAGTGACAGAAAGTGTAACACTGGTTGTCTGGGACCGGTAGATAGTGAGGGGGAAGAAAGGAGCTTTTGCAGGCAATAGAATTGTTCTATATCTTGACGTGATGGTGTTTACGATATGTATACATTTGCTAAAAACCCACTGACCTCATGACTTAAAATGGGTGCACTTTACTGCATGAAAGAATAACCAGATAAAGTTGATTTTTAAAATGTCAAGGTCAAGGGGTGCCTGGGTGGCTCAGTCCGTTAAGTGACCAACTCTTGGTTTTGGCTCAGAGTCCCAAGATGAAGCCCTGGATAGGGTTCTGAGCTCAGCAGGGAGTCTGCTTGAGATTCTCTCTCTCCTCTCCCTCTGCCCCTCCCACCGCTCACACTTTTTCTCTCTAAATAAATAAATAAAATCTTATAAAGTACAATAAAACAAAATGTCAAGGTCAAGAAGACAAAGAAACCTGAGGAATTCTCTGAGATTAAAAGAGACTAAAGTGCCATCACAACTAAATGTATCACATGATCCCACACATGCAGGAAAAATACCTATGCTGATATTATCAGGACAGTTGACAAAATTTGAATATGGGTTATGGATGAAATCACAGTACTCTATCAATGCTAAATATCCTGATTTTTATAATTTTACTATGGTTATACAAGACAAAGTACTTGTTCTTATAAAATATTTAGACAAAGGGACATAAGGTCCCCAATTTATTATCAATTAGAACAGCAACGGAGTAGGGGAGAGAGAGAGGAGAACTGTAAAGCACAGATATAACAAAATATGAACAAATGGTAACTACGTGCAAAGGTTACAGGAGAGTTTTTATACTATTGTTTCAACTATGAGGAAGTATGAAATTATAGCAAAGTAAAACCATTTTAATGAAAGGTGATTATCTAGATGGGGGGAGGGGAGGCAAAATAACTATTTTTTAGTTCTTAATTGTGCCACCTCTCAAACCCAGAGGCGACTGGAATGATTTATCCCACTTCTCCTACTAATAAGGAAAAGACCAGGCTATCAGAGTTGTCTAATTGGTTCTATGGGTGGGTCAGGGAAAGAGAAAGGGAATTTCTCAGGACCATTAAAGAAAGGGGAAACTTCTCTCCAGACAAAAGCATGCACTCTTCCTCAAGAAGACAGATGGCATCTGATCTCTTAAATCATAGTCCGAAAGAACATTTCCTTTCTTTTCCCACTCATCTCTGTTTCCACAGTAAAGTAACTCCTAGTAGCAGAAACATTAGTTTGTAAGTATTCACAAATTATCACAGGAACAAACAAACAAACAAATATCAGGTTCCATTGCACCTTTTCTTCTTGTATCTATTGAAGCAGGCAGAGAAAATATCATCAATTCTCTCCTCACAGATACAATTGTAGGTCTTAGAGCACTCAATAGGTGTTATTCTTGTTGGGGTTAAAAATGCACATTGTCCTCTTCCAGAAGAACTCATGAATGTATAGTTACTGTAGAATAGAAAACACACATGGTCAACTGTTTAGGGATGTCTGGGTGGCTCGGTCAGTTAAACATCTGCCTTCAGCTCAGGTCATGATCCCAGAGTCCAGGGATCGAGCCTCACATCGGGTTCCCTACTCAGTGGAGAGCCTGCTTCTCTCTCTCTCTCTCTCTCTCTCTCATTCGCTCTTGCTCTGTCTCATAAATAAAATCTTAAAAAAAATTAAAACCTTCTTGAATAAATTTATGAGCTGGCAAGAAGCAAATTCAGGCTCAGGCTGAGGTTAAGTAAAGATGGGAACCCAGAAAGGTAAGTGAAGGACTGGAGTCATTGTTTCCCTTAATTGATACAGCAGATTAAATATGAATTCCACTCAAGTTTCCATATGGAAGACAACCTACAGAGTTGAGACCCTGAAGATGTATCTTCAATGTAAACTACCCTTGAAAAGTCTTCAACCTTGGACTTAAGCAGAAGAAAAAATGAATAATCCCACCTAAGAATCCAAAATTACCAACTATCCCTCATGCAATTTGTATTTGCTATATTATTTGAATATCCAAATCTCCTACAGAAAAGAAAAACAAAAAACAAAAAGGAAGATAAATGAAACTAAGTAGCTTGGGAGGCGTGGGCAGAAAGCATGAGACATGTTCAATAAGTGCCGACGAGGAAATTAGTAACCTTTGAGACGTGTCAGGTATAGATACTGTAAGTACAGCATGTGCCTGCTGAACATAGGCAAGGAAGAAAGAACCAAGTAGCACTACATGTCTCACTCAAAATATACATTATGCACATAGACACTTACATCCATGAGGTCTTAAATTCACCTCCTACTGGTGACACTCATACTGGCCCTCTGCCTAACAAACTCAAATAAAATCCATAGCTGCTCATCAGGATCACTGGAAAGCTGCAGCTGTCCCCGGGCTTACATGCTCCCCACTAGAGAAAATGTGTATGCTGGCCAAAGAGCCTTCTGTTTGTCGGGCCCCCTTACTCAAAACTCAAGTGAATATCCTAGAAACCACGCCACTATCAGGAAAGGGGGATGCAGAAGAGTCAGGCCATCTGAAGATTATGTAACCGAGGATTCAGGTAACCTTGTACCTACTTGCACCTTATCCTGAATGTGATAACTGATCCTATCCCATCCCATTGTGATAAGCTATCCCATTTCTTTCCCCTTGCATTGGGCTATTTGTTCCAAATTGACTTAATTAACTAAATACAATTTGAGCATCTTAATTTGGCCCATGAGCCTTTCTGTTCTGTGCCTCTGAAGTGTTTGCCTGGAAGTGTACTCAGAGGCTATGACTGCATCAAGGTAATTTCCTGCCTGACATCTCTTAAGTTTGCAGCCACCTTTATCTCAGTCCTCAAATAATTTCCACAGCATCTCAAAAAGAAAACAAAAATCACTAAACACTACACAGAAAATGACACCATGAAAAAAATGCCAGCAGAAACTATAGAGTAGACCCACAAAACTTCAAATATTAGAATTATCAGATACCAAATATAAAATTAGTATGTTTGACACATTTTGAGAAAGCTTGAAAATGTAACTAGTAAGATTTAAAAACTTAAACCAGAATCCCTAGAAATAAAAGGTAAAAAGTTAAGATTTTTAAAAAATTATTGAACAGTTTAACAGAAAATTATAACTAAATGGAAACCCAAGACTTTACAAAATACTGCACTTCAAAATAAAACTATGGGGATGCCTGGATGGCTCAGCTGGAAGAGCTCGTGCCTCTTGATCTCAAGGACATGAGTTTGAGCCCCACATTGGGTATAGTGATAGTTAAACAAAGAAACAAACAACCCCCCCAAAAAAACCTAGTGAAGGCATATGTATGCATGCGTGCGTGTGTATACTCTCTTATATTTATATTTATAAATAATATAAACTAATAATATACAGATTTTATGATGATGTTATGTCCTGATAAACCCAACACAAATTGAAAATACCATTAAGTCAAAAATGCACGTGATACACCCACCCTACTAGCTTAGACTAGTGTACCTTAAATATGATCAGAACACTTATGTTAGCCTATAGTTAGGCAAAATCATCTAACACAAAGCCCATTTTATAATAACGTGTTGAGCATCTCATGTGATGTATTGAATACTACACTGAAAGTGAAAACCAGAACGGTTGTATGGGTATAGGATGGTTGTTAAGTGTACTGGGTTGTTGGTCCTTGTGATCAGTCAGGAGGATCACTGGGAGCTCCAGCTGCCACCACCCAGCACCACAACAGAAGATCACACTGCACATCACCAGCCCAGGGAAAGATCAAATTAAAAATTCAAAGTACAGTTTCTACTGAATGCATATTGCTTTCACACCATTGTAAAGTAGAAAAATTGTAAGTCAAACCATTGTTAGTCAGGGACCATCTATAAAGAAGTTTCAAATGAACTTTGGGGATCCTCCAAATACTTAACTTGTGATTGTGGGAGGGATCACTATAGCTGATTCAGGATGGTCCAATTCCTTCATATCACTTTATGATTTGCGTTTGTTTTGTGTACCTCATAACGCATACTTCTGAGCATGTGTTTAGCATCAAAATTTTGTTAATAATCTGTATGACATTTCTCTTTCTCTTTAATTATACTTCCTAAAACATTTTCTTCATCATTCTACTTGTTCTTACCAATGACCTCCGTGTGAAAACCATGTGAATTAAGAGAAGATTCTTTTTAGATACAGTCCTCCCAACCCCAACACCAATGTTGGAGCTTGAATGCATTCCAGAGACTTACATCCCAAAAGGTGGACCAGTGTCAATCCATTTCCATTTTTGTTCTCTATCATCATATGATAATCCAATCCAGTAGTTATTCCTATAAGTTTGGGGTTGAATAAAGGCCTGTAAGGAGACAAAACATATCATGTGACTAGCCCTATCTGTTAGATGAATGAAAAGGAGGAAGGTGAAGGTCCCAGCTGTTTCTATGGACAATACTCTGCTACACACCACACCATCTTCATCTCTATTCCTGGAAAACCCTCCCTCCCCTCCATCCTCGTGCTTTTATTTTCCAACGTAAGTTTTACCTCAAAGACTATTTACCTAATGTTAAAAATTCCTGCCACTCTCATGGATTATTTAAACATGAAAAAAATTCAAATCTAAATATCTAACATTAGACTTGTTAAATAATGTATGTCACTATAAAACTACTCAAAATCATGCTCCAGAAAAATATTTAATGGTGTAGAAAGTGATCATTACTTATTACCAAATGAAAAAAGGAATCTTCACAACAAATTTATTAAAATAACAACTCTATGTGAGAAGTTGTGCATCAAAACCCTCAGTCTCATAAGAGAAAGGTTTGCTGTAGTTTAGTAGTTGGAAGGGGTGAAGGGAAAATGGGCAGTGTTTGGAAATATTTACTATGTCAAAAAATGTAATATGGCAAAGTGACACTTTACATAATGTCTGATTAAATGGCTGAATGTATTTCAAAATATAGGTTTAAATTTAAGTGAGTTTTACTGAAACAAACAAACATTATTTTATGGCTTGATATCATAAATTCTTTTATGTTGTGACTTAAAACATCTATTAGATTTGCATATAAATGTTATGTTGTTTTCCTAAGGGATAAATAGAGGTTTTAGGGTGATCTTTGAAAATATTTCTCCGTAAAAAACATTTTGTGTGTGTGGGTAATTTTTACTAGTAATAAATTAAAAGATAATTTTGATACTGTTGTCACTTTATTTTCTCTTTTTACAATTCCTTTTGAAAGATATACATCATTATACAATATATTAGAATATTGATCAAGAAAATGTTACCTACAGATGCCATGAAAAGCACCATGAGGGTAACTTGTAACAACTGTTATCACTTTTATATTCCTCATTATTATCTCCTTTTTGCAGGTGGAAGAACTGAGATCCAGAGGTTAAGTAATTCACCCAAGGTCACACATATAATAGGTGGCAGAAGCAGATTTGCCTCATCCCAGGCAATCTGGCTCCTGGATTCCTCATAGCCCCTACTGGATTAGGTTCCTCCAGGTTCTCAGTTGCCATTTTGCAAGGATAAATAACCACTGCTTCCGGGCTGCAAATACCAAAGGGTTAAGGGCTCCATCGAAGGAGAGGCATGCTTCTCAGTGAGCTGTTCTGCACACACCTTAGAAAAGGAAATGAATGGGGGCGCCTGGGTGGCTCAGTTGGTTAAGCCACTGCCTTCAGCTCAGGTCATGATCCTGGAGTCCCGGGATCGAGTCCCATATCGGGCTCCCTGCTCAGTGGGGAGTCTGCTTCTCCCTCTGACCTTCCCCCTCTCATGTGCTCTCTCTCTCTCATTCTCTCTCTCTCAAATAAATAAATAAAATCTTTAAAAAAAAAAAAAAAGAAAAGGAAATGAATGCAAAAACCCAAACTAAATCTTCAAGGGGGTTTCCATTTTGGAAATAATAATGGTCATCATGATAAATAATATATGCTGAATGCTTAGAAAGTAGCAAGATCATATATGTGCCTATCCGTAGGCAGGGTTTTCCAGAACCCTTACCTTTCTTACCTACACAAGTTTTGCTCACTCAACAGACACAACACAGAGAATAACTGAAGGTCCCTCTTTCTGGCCTCCCCCTTTCCTCAGTATCTCAACATCTCTCAATATCCTCAACATCCTCAACATCACTCCAAGCATGAGAGACATCATTAGGAAAATAAAAGTGAATGTAACCGTCCATGATACCAGTTCATCTTCATCGTTTATCTTCAAAAGAGATGAATTATAACTTTGGCAAGTCTGTTTACATCCGTTCCAGTTTTTACTTTCAGGAATAAAATAATAACACTTTATTCCACAACAGGACCAGCGGTTTTCATAGAGTTTGCCTACAACATATGAGGTGAAACATTTACCTGGTATTCTATTAAGCAGAGCAATATACTTACCAGCCCTCCATAATTAAATAATAAAAATCTTAATAGCTATCAATAATGATAATATTAGGTTCATCAAGATTCTGGAATGCCAAGAGATATCTCATATTCATTGCAGCATTATTCACAACAACCAAGACATGGAAACAACCCAAGTATCCATCCATAGAGGAATGGATAAAGAAAATGTGGTATATACATACAATAGAATACTATTCATCCTTAAAAAGAAGCAAATCCTGTCATATGTAACAGCATGGATTAACCTTGAGGATATTAAGCTAAGTGAAATAAGACATTCACAGAAGGACAAATACTACGCGATTCCAGTTATATGAGATACAAAAAATAGTCAACTCAGAAAAACATAAAGTGGAAGGTGGTTGCCAGTGGCTGGGGGAGGTGAAAATGATGAGCTTTTGTTCAATGGGTATATAGCTTCAGTTATGCAAAATGAGTAAGTTCTAAAGATCTGCTGTACAATATAGTACCTATGGTTAACAATACTGAATTGTGCACTTAAAAACTTGTAAAAAGGGGCTAGATCTTGTGTTAAGTATTCTTAACCCCCTCCCCAAGAAAATGTGACATGGGAAAGCTTGGATGTAATGGATATGTCTACTACCCTAATTGTGGATGATTTTACAGATACACGCATATGTCCAAACTTGTCAAATTATATACATTAAATATGTGCATTTTTTGCATATTCATAATACCTAAATAAAGCTATTTTTTAAATAATAAAAGTAATTTTTTAAAAAGATTCTGGAATGCCTTCTAAATAAAAGAAACATGATTCTTTAGAATTTCTTCTTTTCCTCATATATCTTATAATGTACCAAATTTTTAAAATACTATTGATTTTTTTTATTAATTTATTTTTATTAACATATAATGTATTATTTGTTTCAGGGAAACAGGTCTGTGATTTATCAGTCTTATACAATTCACAGCGCTCACCATAGCACATATTGATTCTTTAATAACAGAGAGGATAAATTCCTGGTACCGTATCTAAATGATATTAAATATGTAAAATTGTTTTACAAATTCCGAATCCTAAACAAATATTTTATCACTTATTGATTAACTAGGTTAATTCGTTCCATCCATTTGCATGACAATGGAGTTTCCTGTATGAGATTTAATATCCTTATCTCTTAGATGTTTTAAAGGGTATTATCACCAGAGTTATACAAACTCTGCAAAAGTACTGCAGAAGTACTGCAGAGACTACAGAGAGTGTATACAGACCAAATACCTGAGGTCAAGGCACAATGGAAGCACACACAACAGAATTATCTTTACAAGAGCATCCAAATAAAAGGCCTTGTGCCCATTTAACCTAAGTATATTTTTACTAATAGCCTCCATATTTCATGTCAGCCACAAAGTGGAGTGTCTAATTTGCCCACAGGTCCAAAAGGATCCACGTTTTCAGGGAAGCTGACACACTATTTCACCTCCTTGAAGCAGTCAGAATGCAAGAACTGCCACTGAGTTTGGGGAGATACAGAGCTCTGTTAATCCCAACACAGCTCCTGGGATCTCAGTCTCACATTTGACATAGGCAAACCCAAACACTCATATTGCATCTTGAGGTACAAATGAAAAGGTGTCTAGCAGACCTAGATCACTAGCATATACCATCAGCCTGCCTATCAGGCCTCAAAGCTTCTGGAAGGGGAAGAAACAAAGGCAAATCATGCAATCTTCCATTCAAGATGCCCTTCATACCTTCATTTCCTCTCTGACATCTCCTGTCTGCAAACAGTAAATCCTGTTCCTTTTTCTGCTGAAGCGATTCATTTTTGAGAATGTTATATTCCGAAATCATATTTGTCAAAAGTTGCTCCTTTAAGTAGCTGTCATTTTGCAAAATATGGTGCTCTCGAGTCAAGTTTCCTATCACTTCCCCCAGCTGATGGTTTTCTTGAATATACTGAAAAACTAAAATTAATAGCATAGATACAATACAAGGATACTCATATACTTGAATGTTAAAATTCAAGACAAAAGAAAAAGTCTCACTTTGACAACCAACCCCTTTCATTACTTTAAATGGTTAATGTGACATTTAGAAAGTAACACCTCAATAAACTGACCATAGAAATGGAAACTTCAAACTTCACACTATTAGCAACTTACGTGTAGAATAAATAAAAGAAGATATCTGAATAAAATTATAATAGTAACATCTTACCACTCAGTTCAGTTTCTTTTTAACAATTAGCATATCATTTATAAATAGGTCTCAGAGTAAAAACCAGTCAATCAACACTGAGCAATACATTTTCTATATATGAAAATCTGCACTAGGAAACATGAAGAAATACCATCATTGTTATTGAAGGTGATCGAATAGAAAAGGGAGGAAGATGTAAATAAGTACATTTATTTGAGTGGCACATGTTAGTGATTTTCTCTAAAGATGTCAAGAAATTCAAATAAAAGATAAGAGTTGAATTCAAGATCATCTAAGGTACACTTACAGAATCAATCTTCTTACTAAATTCTATCACTACAGACTTGGAAAAAAAATCAAGAGAAAGTCATAATTTCTTGTAAACAGTTGTTTCTCAAAGAATGTGTATCTAATATTTACAATGATCTAAACTCAGACGACATTATATGACTAAGTCCTGTATCTGAATGAATCCTATTATGCATTCTACAGAATGAGACAGTTCATTAACCTATAGAGTCATTGGAATAGGTGAATAAAATGAAAATGACACTGTGACATGTCTGGGACAGTCCCTCATGATAGCCAGGGAACAGTTAGTATCTGTGCAAATAGTGGTCCCTGCTATTACTCAGACTTGAAAGTTGTATTTTAATTACTCACTCTTTGTCCCCAGTAGGGTGACTGTCCCCAACAGTAGTAAACACAAGATCCCAAGAATCACTGCAATGAGATGCCAGGTCACTGAAAACCCTTTAAATAAGGAAGAAAGATAATCAGGAACAAAGCCTTGCTCACTGCTAACCTTAACCTGGGATACCATTCGAAACAGAGATAACCCACTCTAAAAATTTTACAAAAATATATCATACAGGGTGCCTGGGTGGCTCAGTTGGTTAAGCGACTGCCTTCGGCTCAGGTCATGATCCTGGAGTCCCGGGATCGAGTCCCGCATCGGGCTCCCTGCTCAGCGGGGAGTCTTCTTCTCCCTCTGACCCTCCCCCCTCTCATGCTCTCTCTCTCCCATTCTCTCTCTCAAATAAATAAATAAAATCTTTAAAAATATATATATATATATCATACAAATTGATTTAAATTTATGACCTAGTAATTACAGTTTTAAAGTCTCAGATTTCTGACTGATATACACTCATTGTAGAAATCCTACACACAAGAACAGTCCTCCGGGATTTTAAAAGCACTTTCCCTACTAAAGCACAGATGGCCTAATGTATAGATTTGTTCAATCACTATGTTGTACACCTGAAACTTATGTACATTGTGCATCAATTATAATTCAATTAAAAAATTCAACAAAGTTTTTTTAAAAAAGCACAGATGGCAATAGACATAATACACTTTTATAAGAGTCCACACTGACGTGTATACTCCTTACTCCTTCCTGTGATCACAACTAATCATGAAGAGGAAGGAAAACGCAGTCAGTATTCTTGAGGAATTGGTAGCCAACAGTGGATATTATGAGGCTGGAAATGTGACTGGGGTCCATCCTTAAAAGAGTTTCTACAAATCAACTTTCCTTTCTTTTTCATCAATCCTATTTTTCCCTAGACAATATTTATCCTCTTACTTTTGAGGTCCTGGGTTTGAAAATTGTATCTCTGATTGTCACTAAATTAAAACAATAAAAGTTAATCTCACTTTAGAGTTTGTGACAATATTTGAAGGTAGAGAGCAAGAACAGAAAGAACAGAAAAAAGTGAACACTCCTTTTGCTAATCTTCTGTTTCTTCATTGCCAATTAAGGTTTGATAAATATTTAAGTCACCTAAAATATCTTTTGTCTGAATAAAAACATTGTTTCTAACAAATATTCCCATTTTTCAAGCATTCTCTAAGACCTTTGTTTCTCTAGGAGATTCAGTGTTTTCTTGAGACTCTAACCTGTCCTTTACTTTTAAAGGCCTCACAAATTCCTCTTGACCAAATTTGAATAAAAACACTTTATTAGCTTTGCAAATTTTAAAGAATTCATTAATTTCTCCATTTTCACAAACATAAAAATATAAAACACGGCTTTGCTCTGCTACTCTATACCATCATGGTTTCTTATTACTATTTGAAAACAAAAGGACAAACAGGAACTTTTTTCAGATGTCAAAGTTTGACAATCCATAAGAGATGCTTAAGACATATACCTTTGCCATCATTTTTCCCAGGCCTTTGAGTCCTACGTGGCCTTAATCTATTTGGTGACTCTGAAGAAGACTGAAGAAATCTCAGGGTGGAATAAATCACTTGCTGATTGCTCATATCTACAGTAAGAAGGGAAAGATGCTTTAAATTAAAACCTCACAACAGGATGATTTCTGTCAAAAGAAAAATTCAAATCTCAGGCTGTATAAACATACCAGCGACATACCTAGAGGCTTGTGTGTGTATCTGTATGTGTGAATGTGTGTTTAACTCCTTCAAGTGCATAAAGCATGTGGACTGATCCTGATTTATTTAAGAAATGGAAAACCTTTCAATATTTCTGTTAAACTCATTTATACTCCTAGTGATTACCGCCATGATTATTAGAAAATATGGAAAGAATTTTTTTAAATGTCCCAATAGATTGAACAGGCTGGGTCCTATTCAACCAGCCAATTTAGCTCAAAATGTTGAACATACATATATGTATTTTATTCATTTATATGTCAGAGAGAAAAAGAGAGAGTACAAGCAGGGGAGCTTCAGGCAGAGGGAGAAGCAGGCTCCCTGCTCAGCAGGGACTGCTCAACACGGGACTCAGTCCCAGGGCCTCAGGATTATGACCTGAGCCTAAGGCAGATGCTTAACCAACTGAGCCACCCAGGCATCCCTGAACATAGATATATAAATGTTGGACAAATTTGGCACCAGTATAAATTACTGAGACACTTTAAAGACTATCAATTCAAAAAAATGAAAATTCTGTTTTTGAAATTCCAAAAAAATATATATATCTTGGCCTAAAAATCCTTAATATACATGTTCAGATATACATATAAATATTTAAAAGTTCTTGCATTCTTTCAAATATAACAAGACTCTACCAGAGTATGTCTCCCAAAGTATAACCCATAAACCACCTGCAAAAGAATTATTAATGGTTAACATCGCAGATTGGTCAACAACCCAGACTCCAGTGCCCCATGTAAGATATGCTGAATAAAAATCTCAGTGGAACCCATATGCCTGTATTTTTAATCCCAAATGATTCCATGTATATTTGAATATTAGAAATAACTTTCTAGTGTGTGATGTTGCCAGAAAATCCTCTCTGAAAATAAAATTTGTCAACAGGCAGTCACTAGTTAATATCCATAAAGGATTCAGTCTACTAATGGATATCAATATAAAAAGAAATTATTAGGGGTGCCTGGGTGGCTCAGTTGGTTAAGTGACTGCCTTCGGCTCAGGTCATGACCTCAGGGTCCTGGGATCAAGCCCCGCATCGGGCTTCCTGCTCGGCGGGAAGGCTGCTTCTCCCTCTCCCACTCCCCCTGCTTGTGTTCCCTCTCTCACTGTCTCTCTCCATCAAATAAATAAATAAAATCTTTTAAAAAAATAAAATAAAGAAAAAGAAAAAGAAATTATTAAATAATAAATCTTTAAAATTTACCCTGATTCTGGTATTAATCAGTGTGAAAAGATGATATCCAAGAAACAGAAAATAGGGAAAACAAATTACACATGAAACTATATTCTCCTTAAATTTTTTTATTAATTTACAAAATTTTCTAAACTTATTCACATTTTCTCTAATTTCCTAAGGAACAGGAGTCTTTTCTATTACACAGTCCTTTAGGGTGGATAATATCTACATCATTCGACACAAAGCAAAAGTCACAGTGTATCGAGAAAAAGAAAATAACTTTCCATGAATGTTGCACTACAGTTTTCACATCCTTTATAGAGTTAATGCAGTTCTAATGTAATCATTAGAAAATGCTTTTCTATCAATCCCCATATTTATGCCACGCCATTTATAATAAAATGCCACCTTCCTAGAATCTTTTTTTCTCAGAATCTCTTCGTTATTAAGTGGCACTAGTAGGACACAGATAACAAAGATCTGGGGGAACAGAAGCAGACATTACCTGTGTCTATGCCATGCAGGGATGCAGGCAGAGAAAGCTGATCCAGAAAAGAGGTGGAAGAAGTTGGCCTTTCTGATCCTGGATCCCTTGTGTGCGTGAGGGGCTATAAGACAGAAGGCAGAAATGGTTGTCTCTGAATGGTACTCCCACTCAGAAATTCACTGCCCCTCCTCTTGCCCAAAGTGCTGAAAGGAAATTGTATGAAAAGGCTGATGTTGAGGTACATCTTCCTCCATTTCAACTAACCAACCACTTCATACTCTTTACAAAATAATGTTCAAAATCACTATTTGAGGACTGAAAATATAAACGAACACAGCTTTGGAAAAAATAAGAACTAATATCTTCAAAAAAACTAGCCTATTTAAAAGAAACTACTAGCAAAAACAAATGATTAAAATGCATAAGTATACATATACCTAAGAAATATTATAACTAAATTCTTTAACTCTTAAAGAGTCTGTCTCTTAGAAACTTTCTTACATGTCGCTATTTGAAAAAAAAGATTTTTTTCCATTTATGTGTACTATCGATAAATGTATTTTAGAAATTATTTTAAAACATCCATAATCCCACTACAAAAATGTTGGTGTATATTCTTCCTGTTTCTTATCCACATGCTATGATTACTATGAAAGTTGGCATTATTCATACATAATTTTTTTGATTTATTATTTTCTAATAAATGTTTCCCCACTTAAAAAATATTCATCTAAAATGTGATTTTAAAATCCATATATAGTCATTATCCACACAGATTATGCCACCATCTATTTACGCAGTCCCCTACTGTTGGACATTTGAGTTGTTTTCCAATTTATTGCTAGTACAAAAAATATTTGGCCTTACATTTGAATGCTGTCTAGAAAAAAATGTTTAAACATGAAATTAGGGGGGTCAATACATTAAAGAACTTTGATACATATTGCCCAATGCCTTCCAGTGAAGCTGCTCCCATTTATATACCAAGGTGTGTGAAAATGCTCACATTTTATTTTTTCAAAAGATACTGTTGAATTATTCCTCTACTTGAGTTTTGTGCATGAATCTTACTTCATGAAGAACTACAAACTTCCAGCTAAAAGAAATTCATTTCTATAACTCTGTTTCTATGAGCCAGACCTTACCCGAACTTCACTGCAGTTCATTTTCATTTAATACAGGCCTTGTCAATCTTCTGACATACAGCTCTATGAAATCAACTTAAGTTGCTCTTCAAAGGAGATGATTATGGTTAATATGGAGTGTGGAGGAAGACGAGAGAGGTGGGATGAGAAACGGAAATTGGTCATGAAGAGACAGCTCACCCTACTTCACCAGGCTCTGACCAAGTTCCTTACTTATTATTCTCTTTCCTTACCAACCTCCAGCCACAACTAAACCATTGTACTTTAGAAGGATTTCCCATCCTTCAGGTTGTTCATGCTTCCCACCTCTCCTCCAAACTACTTTACAAACACAGCTACTGAATGTTCTGACCAGTAGGACCAATCTAGGTTATGTTGCTGTTCTTTGGCCCTCAGCTGACCCACTTCTGTCCCCAAAGCACTCCTTAATCTCTAATCACCACTTGTCATCACGTGCAAGCACTCAGCTGAAATACCCCCCAGGCACTAATTTAATTCAATAATATAAGTTTCATGGGGAGAGTCTGGACACTTCAAGAACACTGGTTACTGGGGATTTTCATCTCTTTACTCCAATCCTGGATTGGCTTTGTTAATCTCAAAACAGAGAAAGATTCTAGCCCTCTATTCTAAAGCCATAAATAAATAAGCAAACCAACCAACCAACCAACCAACCTCTGCTGAAAGAACATAGGGAGCAAGGGTGGGAGAAGTATTAAAGGTGATCAAAGAGGTAGCAGAGAGAGACACTGTCATTTATTGAAAGACCCACTATATGTATAACCATATCAAACCCTCCCAACGCTGATAGCCATTTAATATTGCCCCCATTTTACACATGAGGAAACTGTTAAGAAGTTAATTGACTTGCCAAAAGATACATTATTGCTAATTCTTGACCCATGTTTAAAATCAGGCTCATTAAATATTGAACATTGTTATTTGACGTCAAGGTTCAAATCCTCCCTAGATATAAAAATGTCAACAAGCTACTCCCAATCTTCAAAACCTTTTCCTCATGTGTTCAATAAGAATATCACTCACTTCATAGGCTTGGAAGAATTCAGTGAGAGTAGCACTAGATAGGATTTCTCAGACTTCAAAATACATAAATATTCATTTTTTTCCTCTCTCTCTCTCCCAAGGTTCTATAAACAGTGGAAGAGCCAGGACAGCAATGCAGAAATCCTGACAGGCTGAGCTGGTTTCTCTGTCCTCACCTGTCAGGTTTGGACTGCAGATGCTTGGAAGAGAGGGTGTGGGGAAGGGCAGGGGGCACATTGCTAATATTTAGGAGCTGGAAACATGTGGCAGCATACTGCACCTCCATTCTGTGACCTTGGATCTTGTTATTACCATCTTACCGTCCATGCACTTACTAGTAATGCTGAGCCTTTATTCTGTTTTGATTTACATCCTTAGAGCTGGTGAAAGGTGGTCAGTTCTCATGATGCAGGCTAGACAGGTGCAGAACAGTTTTAAACCACCATAGTTGTCTGTCCTCTCTACATACACTCTGTAAGCTGAGTACCACGTCCGTCTGGTTCCTTATTGTAACTGCAGCACAGACAAGAGACGTGATGCCCACATGTGCACTTGATGAACAAGGTGATTCAAGTTCAGAGGAACTGGTTTCACTCATACGTGGAACATAAGGAATAGAGCAGAGGACCACAGGGGAAGGGAGGGAAAACTGAATGGGAAGAAATCAGAGAGGGAGACAAACCATGAGAGACTCTGGACTCGGGGAAACAAACTGAGGGTTACAGAAGGGAGGGGGTGGGGGGACAGGGTGACCAGGTGATGCGTATTAAGGAGGGCACGTGTTGGGATGAGCACTGGGTGTTACACCCAACTAATGAATCGTTGAACACTACAACAAAAACCTATGACGTACTATATGCTGGTTAATTGAACATAAAAAAAATAATAAATAAACTAGATTTTCTAAAATAAAAGAGGAATTGACTATAAAATCTAGATTTTTCAGTTTTAGACAAAAGCAATTGAGATGAATGATGGGGAAGCCAAATTGTGTAGAAGCTCCCTCCAAGCTCAAGTTATTTGGTTTGTTACTAAGCTCTAATTTCTGGAAGAGGTAAATTTCTTCTTAAAGGAGAAGACAAGATAATAACAGCACTGACTTCAGGTGGGACTAACTGAAACTCCTAGCATGGGCCTTTGATCAAAGCAGCACAACACTGGAAGCACCAAACTTCATCTGAACAAGCACTGGTTCATAAAACAGAAAGATGAAAAATTTGAAGAACACTTTGAATGTTCCTATACTTTGTCATCCAAATTCACTTATGTGCAAGACACACATAACACATACACACATGAATAGATAAAGCATTTACTTATTTACTTCCTGGCTGCTTTGCTGTAAAACCTCTGTTCATTTGGGAAACCACACATTTTACACCAACCATTATTGACCATATTTACTTTGTCAGCTAGCTTAGCTCACAGCTTCTCGTCACACCTTCAAGCTTTCTGGTCACAACTTCAAACCTCAATGGCTTATCATTTCACACCAACATGCTGTTCTTCCATTTGTAGGCCAAAGTGAAGGATATCTAGAGGAACCACCAGCTCCCAGAGAAGGATGGTCTGCATCCCTCTGAGAAGAGTACCTCACCTCGCCGGGTTCCCACCTCCACAGTTAGACTTCATGCCTAACCTTTATGACACTGAGCAATACTCATTTTCTGGCTCTTGCTGCAAAAACTCAAAAGCCCTCCTTTGAAGTTTCTTGTTCCCCTAACTAGTTACCTCATTTGTCCTTCTTGTCTTTACAATAAAATCTGTTCTAATGCTCTAGAGATAAAATCCTTTATATGGGTCCAACTGCCCTCCAGCAGTCTATCAAACAGTACCCGTCCTTCCTCCAATTTCTAAGTAACTAAATGAGAAGACCACCTCCATCTCAGGAAATAAGTAAGCTTGAAAAAATTATGGCAAAAAAGGGACTTTAGAGGGCTATTTGGGCTCTCTGCCATTAAAGGTAACCTGTCTATTCACAGGTGGAAAAGGAAAATAGGTCTGCAAAGTAAGGGCATAATTAAGAATTCTGATGTATCAGTTAGTGTTCCCTCCACCATCTCACACAGTTCCAGACTCTGAACTTAACCTCATTCATTTACCTTTGTTGTTTATTTTTTATTAAATTTTGTGGATGTTCTATTCTAGTGCATTACTATATAATGATAGGAAGCTAATTATTAAAATAACCAACAAACTTGATCACCCAAAAACCTGCACATAATTACAGGAACTTTATTTATAATCGCCAAAACCTGGAAGCAACCAAGGTGTCTTTCACTAGATAAATGGATAAGCTGAGGTCCACCCAAGCAATGGAATATTATTCAGTGCTAAGAAGAAATGAGCTATCAAGTCATAAAAAGACATGAAGGAAACTTAAACATGTAAGTGAAAGAAGTAAAAGAAGTCAATCTAAAAAGGCTACATATTGTATAACTCCAACTGTATGACATTATGGAAAGAAAAAACTGTGGAGACAATACAAAGAGTAGTAGTGATGATAAGGGTCAGTGATGAGGGTAGGGAGAACTGGATGGAGCACACAGGAATTTTAGGGTAGTGAAAATACTAGCTGATACTATAATGATGGATATATATCATTATACATTTGCTTAAACCCATAGAATATACACTGCCAAGAGTGAATCCAAAAGGAAACTATGGGCTTTAGGGTGATTATGATGTGTCAGTGGAGGCTCATCAAAAATAACAAATGTACTACTCTAGTGCAAAATGTTGGTAACAGGAGGTTATGCATGTGTGCGGGCTGGAGTATATGGGAAATCTCTGTCCCTTCCTCTCCCTTCTCTGTGAACCTAAAATTGCGCCCAAGGAAATCTTTAAAATAAAAAAAAAATCACAGGGATCAGTAGTTGAACTTTCATCACAACCCATGTTCACAGGTCTCACATATTTCAAAAATTCCTTTTCGCTGTGCCATTATCTATTGCTTTGGCTGAGCAAAGTTAAAGTGTCTACTTGAGAAATTAGGATCACAGCTGTGATCCAAAAGACACATCCTTATCCAAAGTGTTTGAATATTCATCTCTGTGGCAGGACTATGTGCATATGCAAAGCTCATGGTAACTGAAAAGTTTTCCATAGTTACAGAAATGAATCTCTTCCCCTTCGGACTAAGTTACAAAGACAAAATAATCTGATGGCAGTAAGTACAAAAGACAACCACCTCAACAAACTTTTACAAAGCATCTACTCTGTGGAAAATATTGTGCTAGATGCTGGGAAGCAACACTCCATCCCATAAAAGGGCCAAAGGAAGGATGGGGCACAGAACCGATACTTGGAAAATAAGTTTTGATTATTGCAAGAGAACTCTTTATTATGGGGAGGAAGGGAAGGGAACATGTATGTGCTGACCTGAGTGCTATTAACATTCCAGTTTCATATAAAACTAGTATTATACAAAATTTAATTGTTAGTGATCATTGTCCACCAGCAGCTTACAATCTAGGAAGAAGCAGTTCAAACAAGGTCTAAGAAAGTATAAATAAACAATATAAAATATTTATCTTAATGATGTAGCCTCCAATCTTGGTTTGAATGTGAGAAACTCAGTAGACAGCGGGGACAGAGCATAACAAGTCAGCACAAGAGGGAAGTCGGAGAATGATGACAAGGAGTTAACATGTTAAATCGAAGAACCATTTCTCCCAACTTTGCTCCATCTTGATCATCTTACTCAATGTCTTACTCAGGAGCCACAGAATATTGAGGAGCAAACAAAAATTGTGGGCCCACAAATTAAAAGAGCAATCATTTCTCCCTTTCTCCTTGAGGTTGACATCTAAGTATAAGAAAATACATGATTTGACAATGCATATCCATCAAGGTCTACAACTTGAACAGAAATGTTTATTATCGTTAAGAGATCTGGAGGTGATAACAGTAGAGTCTTGCACAGTGGAGATCAGGTGACTTTTCAGGACAAACCTGGAGGATGGCCATGGATTGTTTATATAATGTGGAAGACCAGACAGGACTCCATGGCAAACACGCTGCCAAGACATGCTCTAGAGCTACAATATCCAAAGGGTAGCTACAAGGCACACTGGCTATCTACATTTAATCAAAATTAAATAGCACTAAAAAAAAAAATGGTTTGTTGACAGCAATATACCATTTTATTCTTACATGAAAAATCAACAGGACATGATTTAGAATAGACTTACTTCCGTAAAAAATTATTCCTTATAGAATCTGAATTGGCAGATGGCTATTCATTTTACAATTCTTGTAACAATTTCCATGCTTGAAATTCTTCATAATAAAATTTGAAGAAAGTTTAATAGAACTATAAATTCCGTTATACTAGCCACATCTCAAATACTTAAGTTGCCACGTATACTACCTAGTGACTACCTTATTGGACTACAGAGATATAACGTCTCTATTATCTCAAAGAAATTTACTGGCCAGAACCACTCTAGAACCAAGCTCAGGAATACTGGCAAACTTCAGAGACCAATTCTTCCCAATAAGGTCAGTTCTGACTGTCCCAAGGGGGAGTGAATTATCACTACCAGGACTGCACACTTTTAAAGAGTGGGGGTTCAGATGGAGGATTAACAATACCAGGGGCATAGTTACTAACAGGGAAGTAATGAAAGATCAAGTATATCAGAAAGAGGTTGCAGGACTGAGAATCATGAGTTAAACCTATGCTCATTAATAGTTAGAATACACACACACACACACACGCATTAAAGTCTCAATTTTAAATAACTTGTAATGCTGAGAACTCATTTAGTTCCTACAGAAACACAAAATATATTCTGAAATATCTTATTGACAAAAATCTACTGTGAAATAAGGAATAAGGGCATAACAGAAGATGTGTTTGACCTGGGGAGCTGACTTGACTCTTGTAACCCTTTAGGCAATTACTGATTACACCAAAAATATTTAAACTTTAATAATTCTGAGGGGTTTGGGATACATGTGAAAAATCCAGAACCTTCTGTAAACAACTTCTATAGGCACCAAAAATTACGTCCCATTAGGTATGGAAGAAATAAGGAGAGATCTGCAATTGCCTTTAATGGATGAAAATCTGGCAGCATTCTTCTGCCTGAAAGAACTTCTGCTACAGGATGTACCTACTAGAACAATTCTTTATTATCTTAAAGTCAATAAAGAGACTTAGCCTTCTGAAAAAAAGAACAAAAACAAAAAACCCACTCTCCATCCAGACTTTGATATGTTTTATTAGAGCAAACTCTCAACAAACGGTTGCTTTTATTTACATATTTCATGCATGAGGACTGTCCAGACCACTTGGACCCAAGTGAGAATAATCAGTAAGCCTGCTTATGTATTTCCTTATTTTTAGTTGGCATACAAAAAAAAAAAACTTCACATTTATAAAAATCCCAATAGTGTAAATGACAAACCCATCCCTTAATTAAATATAAAAACAGCTTCAAAAACATACAATTTAGATTGGTTTAATCTTGAAATGTAATCCAATAAGACTAAAAACTAAACATTTCAGGTCCTGTACCAAATAGTAAAATACTCGAAGGCCTTCAGGATCCCTAAAATTTAAAAAGGTAAAAGTTACTTTTTTGTTCCTAAGATGAAACACATAATTTTAAAGTTAATTCCCAAAACAAAACAAAACAAAGGAATTCAGGAGAATGGATTTGCTGCAACTAAAATGAACATACTGATTACCATCTCTGTCTTTTCTACAAAATTCATTTCATATTTAAGGTGTTTATTTTCTTATAAAAGAAATAGCTATACATAATAAGAACGTAGAAGGCAGATAAAATTACAAAGACAGAAAAAAATAATACTCCTAATACTATAAAATGTCACTCCTCCCAGGATAACTATAAATATTTTGGTGTTTCCCTATTTTCGTAACTAAAATCATTCCCTGTGCCCTTTTTAATATTACTTTTTCCTTCTTTAATATTAGTTTTTCCTTCATTTGTGAATTATCAAAATTCTCTTTGTTAAACATTTGGGTTTCTCGCCAATTATAAGACTTCAATGACCGGGCGCCTGGGTGGCTCAGTCGTTAAGCGTCTGCCTTCGGCTTGGGTCATGATCTCAGGGTCCTGGGATCGAGCCCTGCATCAGGCTCCCTGCTTGACAGGAGGCCTGCTTCTCCCTCTCCCACTCCCCCTGCTTGTGTTCCCTCTCTCGCTGTATCTCTCTCTCTCTCAAATAAATAAAAAATCTTAAAAAAAAAAAAAAGACTTCAATGACCATCTTCATGGATAATACAGCGTTTTCATTATTTGAGAGTATTTCCCTAAAACAGATGCTCAGAAATGAAATCACTAAGTCAAAGATGAATTTGTTTATTTTTATTTTTTAATTTAGTTAATTAACATATAATGTATTATTTGTTTCAGGGGTACAGGACTGATTTATCAGTGTTATGTAATATCCAGTGCTCATTACAACCCTCTCTAACATCCGTCACCCAGTTACCCCATCCCCTCAGCCCCCTCCCCTCCAGCAACCATGAATTTAAAATGTTAGCTTCATGATGTAATGAACACTGGGTATTATATAAAACTGATGAATCACTGACCTCTACCTCTGAAACTAACAATATATTATATGTTAACTGATTGAATTTAAATAAAAATAAATTAAAAAAATAAAATGTTAGCAGCTTTTGATGCATAATTATCAAACTGTTTTCCAAAAAACACTGTACCAATTTAAAATCCTACTTAGGGTATGAATGCCACATCCTCATCAACTGTGGGAAAATCAGCTTGATAGTTCAAAAGTATCTGATTGGCCTTTATGAATGTAGCCTTTTGTATCCAATAGTTACTATGCATTCATTCCTTTCTCCCTTCCTCTAATAAATATTTACAAAGCACTTCTTGTGTGCCAGGCCACTGTGCTAACTTTGGTGACACAGCAAGATTCTCATGGAGTTCATATTCAAACCAGAAAAGCAAACAAGTAAGTTTTTACAAGTTAGGGTAATAGAAGAGAAAGCACTAAGAAAATATTCTGAGGCATAAGAGAGAAAAGAAGCGGAAGCATGGAAATTTTTTGGACAAAAACAATACTATATCCTACAAAGGCCCAGAGGAGACAAACTTGGGAAGACAGAAGAAGCTAAAGCCATACTTAAGTTATACTGACTTTCTTCAATTTCTTTCAAATATTAAACTCAAGGAGGAGAATGATGTGGTATTAGGCTAATGAGGCTGATATAATCCAATGAGGATTTCTTTTAAGTTTTATGAAACTCTATCCAGATTTTTACCAAAAATAGCTATTAAAATTTGGTTGCTGTTATGAATATGGTCAGATTAAGATTTGTTTGACAATCAGAAAAGTACACTGCTAAATATTTGACAGCAAGTCTTCAATGACATAAAAGTCAGAATTATATCTGCAGAATAAACCAATAAATTGCCACTGAAATAATCCTAATAAACTGGCGATTGTTCTAAAATGACCCTCTCAAATAAATTATGTCAATTTTTTTTTTAATTTTTTAGATTTTATTTATTTGTCAGAGAGAGAGTACAGGCAGGCGGAGCAGCAGGTAGAGGGAGAATCGGGCTCCCCGCTGAGCAGGGAGCCCGATGCAGGACTCAATCCCAGGACCCTGGGATCATGACCTGAGTCGAAGGCAGACGCTTAACTGACTGAGCCACCCAGACATCCCTAAATTACGTCAATTTAGTTAAAATACTTCAGCATACTTACTTTGACTGATTTACATCAATAAGAGAACCTATTTTCGATGTTGTAAAAGAAATATGTTCATCTCCAATTACAATTTCAAGCTCCTGAAAAAAATAAAATAGATTAATGTAGTTAATATAAAACTCCACCTCAGAGGTATTGGTATTCTTGTTACCAAGAGGTCCCAATTTAGCTGCAAGTTTTCTAGCAGTCATAGAGGAGAAGAAGGAAAAGAAAGAAAAAAAGAAAAAAGAAAAGGAAAAGGAAAAGAAAAAGGAAAAGAAACTTGACCTGACAGACATAAACTATGTTTGTAAAATAAAAACCTCATCAACTGCTCAGGAGTCCCCAAATTTAGGATCAACCAAGAATTGCTTTCCAGAGATCTCATAAATAAGATACTATAAATATGAATGATATATGTAAGAGTACACATAAACATTTCTTATGTCATTAAAAACTAAACACATAACTTTGAAGCACAATGCTATAAATATGGGTATAAACCTATTTTTAATAAATAAATACAAGCACATTTAACCTTTCTACCAGGCTTTATAAGTAAAATGCACAATACTAATAGCACCATTTGGGCATCTACTATGTATGAGGCCCTACTGCTAGGGACTTTACAAACATACTCTGTAATCCCTAAAACACCCTTCTCAGGGTATTTTACAAATACAAAATACAAGACTCATAAAGCATAGGCAAAAAACATTGATGTATATACAATCACGAGAAGTGAAGGTATTGATATTTGAGTCCTCGGCTATTAAGACTGAAAGACTCATTGTGGTTTGACTTCACAAAGCACTGAAAATTAAGACCTACTAAAACAAATACAACATGCTATAGACATTCTTAGCGTGCCATAATTATTGTAGAAATTGTTCTCTAGATTTTATCTGCAAATCTAAAACCAATAATTACGAGGCTATGTGTGTAGTGATTTATAAGGTTAAATAACAAATGCCATTAAAGATGGTCTTAGCTCTGTATTTCATTATGGGACCTAATTATGCACAGTTTTTGGCACGCACAAAAATGGAGAACTAAGGCTCTCAAACGATCATAAAATCTTTGACTTAAAGATCCAATAGATGATTTCTGGAATATGCCTACCCCTCCCCACTAACCAAAACATATAAATACATCATCAAGTTGGTAGATGAAAATACTGGGTTCTCCCTGAGTCTAAAAGAGATAAAAGGTTTCCTGTTGTAGTGTCTGTTTTTTAGTACGTAGGTACCTATAGCATAAAACAAACCGAGATTTAAATTTACTTTTTAAAAGTATTTACAATGTGTAACATAAATACTGTTAACTATTACCTTTGCTTTCCTAAATACTTCTTTAAATAGAAGAGTTAAATGACTGCTACAGAATGTCAGCATCTATTTGACTTCTCCACATTTTCTTTTAGTCAAAAAAGGGGATATAAAGTGTAATTCTCAGGAATATACAAAAGTGAAATTAAGTGTTTCTTCCTCCAGGAGTTGTATTTCATTTCTTCAAGAGTTGAAAAAGCCCAAACTGTCTTTCTACAGAGTGAAACTAAGCCTTCAAACTTCTCCAGAAGCCCTTTGAGAAACATTAATTACTCTGAAGGGAATAAGAGGCAAAAGCAATGATCACTTTGAACAAAGAAACCAATCAAATCCCTCTTTTGGGCATAAGGGTGCAAGTAAGAGTTCTCAAAGTTATAAAAATGAAGAAAGTGAATTTTACAATCAATAAGAATCTTCTCTTGAATTTCACAAACACTGTACTTATTCTTAACAGAAGTAATTAACATACAACAGCAATTATCCATAACAGTGTGAAAACATCCTAACTTTAACCGGTGAGGCTACAGAGAAGACTGGTCAGAAAGATGTCTAAGTTTAGAGCTCTGCACTGACTCCTTTACTATTCAGAGGTAGAACAGAAAATGAAATTAAGTGAAATAAAATTAGAGTATTTACCGGGTACCTACTAAATGGAAAACCAAAGAATCGAGGGGGATCTATGCTAAGTAAATACGGAGAAACATAACAATTATATCACCAATTTCTAACAAGTACGCATGTAAAGAACCACTGAATACGAACCTGTCGGCCAACTCTGTCAGGGGGAGGCCACAACGCATCATCTTCTTTTGTAATTTCACTGTCGTCAATAATCCTCTTCAGTTCCTCCATTACACTCTTGTGCACGTAAGCCTGAAAACAAGTTACAATAAAAATTCCACAATGTCTATTACTTCCCACAACTCAGAATGAAATGATAATATGAAGTTACAAACCCTAAATATTCAAAGAGAATATCACAGAAGAATCTAATACTGATCCTAAAAGTACAAGATGGGAGATAATCACTCATCCTTATGATTTTAACTCTCTCGCCCTTTCCTTTAATATGTATTTGTTTCCAAATTAAAAAAAAAAAAAGATAACTTACACTAGCCCCCTTTTAAAACCCTGGATACTGCCTTTTAACACGGGACTCAAATACCTCTGAGTGGTTAAGAATGATAACAGAAAATCTGTGAGGTGAACAGAGACAAATGCAAGTAGACATCACAGTCACTGCTTTGACCTTTTTCTTATCCTTAACTTTTGAGCTTTTCATTTAAAATTCTGTAAAATACTGTATTTAAATCTTGACTATCAGTTAGTTTAAATAGGGAATGGGATAAAAAGACAAAGCTAATTATGAAATGAATGAAATTATATGTTCAAAGGTGGAACTACAACTTAATATGATCAGATTACTTCTTTGGCTGTTACACATGCTACATTTAAATCTATTTAAATAGACTCCTTTTTCAATCTCTAAATTGGCTTCTTTATAGCAATACTGCCTTAGATGTACTTTTGTAAATTCAAAAAAAGACATGAAGAAAATGGTCTAAATGTAAAAAATTAGACATTTGAAAAGAACTTACCTCCTTTCTGATCATGACATCATTTTTGTAATTGCTGTTGTTGGCATATCTAAGCTTTCCTGTGGGGAGTGGAAAAAAATTCAATCTATAACAGCAAAAACCACTAAAAAAAAAAAAAAATAAAGAAATGACATTGTAAGCAATTTCAAAGGTACAGACCATTTTATACTACTACTTTTATTAATATTTCCACCCTTTTAGCATAAGATCAATGCTAGACCTGTAAACACTCAAATATTTGTTGGTAAAATTTGGCTAAAGTTGAAGCCAGTCATTTTCAAAACTTTCACACCTTCAATAGTTGAATTTTTATTCAACATAATTTTTAAATATTTCATGCTTTCAATATAATTCAATATAATAGGAGGGTCATTCTTTTTTTTTTAGGTTATGTTAATTACCATACATTACATCATTAGTTTTTGATGTAGTGTTCCATGATTCATTGTTTCCGTATAACACCCAGTGCTCCACGCAGAACGTGCCCTCTTTAATACCCATCACTAGGCTAACCCATCCTCCCACCCCCATCCCCTCTAGAACCCTCAGTTTGTTTTTCAGAGTCCATCGTCTCTCATGGTTCATCTCCCCCCTCTGATTTCCCCCCTTCATTCTTCCCCTAGAAGGGTCATTCTTAAGGCTCATTTGCTTAAGCTATGTCATGAACTAGACAGGGAATCTGAAAAAGGAACTAACATTTATTTTTAAAGCCTATGTTATATATCTGTATTGGCCCTAAGTGATTTACCCAGAAAATTTAACCTAATTGGTAAAACAATACTTAATAGGTTTTGTTCTCTCATCTATTTATACTTGAGAGAACAGAGTTAAGTAACTTGCCCAGGGTCAAAAAGATTCATTTCTAGGTCTACCTTCTTCCAATACTCATGCTTTCCCCAATACTCCAAAATGTTCTTTTAATTATTTCCCTCAAATTAATATATGTACACAATATGGCAATGCTACTATTTTAGCACTGTGACTAAGATGCATACAAACTATGTACTGCTTCTAGATAAAAGTTGGTCAGTTTGTTAGCTGACCTATATTTAATTTTAATCCATCATGACTTTTGTACTCTCTGATGCATGCTTCTCATCATGGCTATGGTCAGTTGCTCAGACACAAATGTAAGGTGGTCCTGATCTCTGAAATGATAGGTTTTCCTAATGAGGTGACCCCCTCACTACTGAAGGAAATATGTGGAATGGTGTGGTGGCAGATAACCAGATGAGAGTCACTGTTCTAGCATGAACTCTCCGTGATAATATCAGACTACTTAATTTATGTGACTGGCTAAACATGATATAGGCAAGCTGAAAGCTGTTCAAAGGCAAAGGCACTAAAAAGAGTATCACCTAAGAAAATAGATGGAAAATTCAGATAAATTTGGCTCCTTAGCTAAATTTAAAAGAGACATGGGGAGAACAAGGGAAAATAAAGTGATTAAGGTTTCTGAACTGCAAGGCTGTAGCTACCTTGAGTTCTTCCTTAAATGTCTGATACTCTTCCTTTTCCTAATATGTGATACTTCTCCACTTTTTTTTTTCACTCACATAACTTTGTCCAAAGCATAATACACCACTTAACATCCACACTGTTTTATGGCTAGTTTCATGTCTGTGTCACCCACCAAGACATAATTCCTTCAGAGAAATTAAAGATACTTACTCATTATTGTACCCTCAATTTTGGTATTTACATGTTGCCTTGCACATAACACGCATTCAAACAAAAGTCTATGCAGGTGGACCATCCTTGTTCTAAGCAGAGTTCAGTATACAGTAACTCTCTGAAGAGAATCAGGACTCTCAAATGATAGAATATGCTGCACCTACAGGGCAGCAGACAGTCCCACCTCACCCTTTGCTCATGCTGTTTTCAGCAGTCTGAATGGTTTTTTTCCCCCTCACAGGCCAAGAAAATACCTATTCTCATTTCAAGACTCATCTTGAAAGAGAACTTTGGCTACCCACATTATTATGATCTCAAACCCACCTTCGCCCCACATTTTTTTGGCAAGTATTGTTGGCATTTTGGAGACAGTCTTTGAGATGCTAGTCCACTGTCTTCCCGGTGCTGGCCTCTCTGAAATAAATTCCTTTCTTGTCTCACCACCAGTAGATTCTCTGCCTTTGGATTTTGTCATTGGTGAGCCTCCAATCTGGTCTGTTTGGGAAACCCAGAGCAGCCCTGCGCACCAACTACAATTTCAACTGTTACCTTCTCTAGGAAGCTTTCCTTGACTCCTAACCATTCCCCCCTTTTTATTCTTAATGCATCCTATAGGGAACAACAACTATATTTAAGCACCCAAAACACATAATTACTACACCCATTTTCCTACACGTGGAGCTCCCTTCTTCAGTTCAGCGCACCGGAAGCCATCTAGTTCACTTGACGTCATCCTTGAACATTTTAAAGAACATCCCATCACGCGGTTGTCCAATGGATGCTTAAAATCTTCCGGTGACCGGTAATTTTCGCACTCCCCGGTTCAACCATTGTATTCATTTAGGCGCTGTATGTAAGGCCACGTGTCTAGGAAAAGGGATGAGACCTACTCTGAAGATTCTGATTACCCTGTGTTCAAGTTTTCAGTATCTGGCAGGATCAGATTTTCTGAGTTAACTTACACCCATTAATTTTCTTTTATTCACAGATCCACTTTGTGCTTCTGATAGTCTTCGGTTCGGATTTACTTCGACTCTAGCGGTGACCTCAGTCCCCAATATATACTTGCAAGCCCACTGAAGCGGAATCACCCCACTCCGCCTCCTCCGCGTCCTCTCCACCCCGCTTACCCTAGCCGCGCACCGAGCTAAGCTGCGGCGGCGGCGCCGCTCCTCTGCTCACCGTCTGGCCGAAACTCGAACTCCAGAAACTCGTGTCCAAACTTGCCCTTGTGCCCTACGTAGTAGCGCAGGTAGAAATCGCTGGCCATAGCCATTTTTGTCCCCCTGAAGCCAGCCCAAGGCCTGGCCAACGTGCCGCCGGGCGCCTGGTAGCGACGTCATCGCCCGGGATAAATGCGTCACTGCGAGCGCGCCTTTCCGGTCCCAGGTCACCAAAGGAAAGCGGGAAGGCCGACTCTCGTTCCAGAGTCTCAGGGGCGCCGGGGCGAAAGGAACTTTACTAGGGTTGAAGAACATTTTTTTCCCCAAAATTAAGTGGATAAGATTATATTAGCAAAACACAGAAGTGTGGAAAATGTGAACGCATTTTTTATGGGTTTAGAATTAAGGTTTGCAAGTCGCTTTTACTTTTCGGGTCTCTAATTCTCGCGGCATCCTGTCCTCACGAGGTGGGTGTGGCATTATTCCCCTCTGACTGGTGGAATGAGAAAAATAAAGCCCGGAATCAGAATGGTAGAGCGGGATTACCTCTCTTTGCTCCGGTTAGATTCCTAACCGGAGCTTTGCCCTCTGGACAATGACTGCTGGTTATCCGGCAGCCAGAAGCCCAGAATAAAGACGAAGTAGAAAGAATCCATCAGAAAAGAGGTCTGAAGTTTAAAAAGCACATTGAAACGAAAGATCTCTGATAGTCACGGTAAAACTTTCATCATTCAATAAGGGTTAATCTTAGTAGCCTATGGAGTTTCGGCAGTTTGACTTAAGATCAAATGGTTTAGCCCACGTTTCTTTTTTTTTTTCTTTTTAAAGATTTTATTTATTTGAGGGAGAGTATGAGCAGAGGGAGGGGCAGAGGGAGAAGCAGACTCCCCGCTGAGCAGGGAGTCCTATGTGGGGCTCCATTAGGGACTCCCGGATAATGACCTGAGCGGAAGGCAGAGGCCCAACCGACTGAGCCACTCAGGCGCCCCAGCCCACCTTTCTTACCAGAAAGAATTAAATTGGGGAGATGAAGGAATGCTGCAATGTGGAATTTTTTTTTTAAAGATTTTATTTATTTATTTGAGAGAGAAAGAGAGAGAGAGCACGAGAGGGGGTAGGGTCAGAGGGAGAAGCAGACTCCCCGCTGAGCAGGGAGCCCGATGAGGGACTCGATTCCGGGACTCCAGGACCACGACCTGAGCCGAAAGCAGTCACTTAACCAACTGAACCACCCAGGCGCCCTGGAATGGGTTTTGAAGGAGGTAGAAGGACAAGGTGAACTTTTATACAAAGTTTACTTTTGAAATATTATTGATCACCCTGTTTTTACCAACAGTAATTCTGTTGGGTGACCTTTAACCTTCAGCAGGATTTAGAAGAAAGAGTGGCAGTCAGAAGACCTGGGATTCATTCCCATCACTTACCTCTACTAACCGTGGTTATTTAGTCACTGTCTATGCCTGTTTGTTCACCAACCAAATGAATATCCTACAATCAACTTTGCGAAGCTCAGGAATTGTTGAGAAGATCAAATGAGATAATAAATGTATAATAAGCTTTAAAATTTATAAAACAATGATTTTAACAGGCGTTATTAAAATTATGTGCCAGAAATGGATGGACACTGGTGATAATTTTAGAGCCCTTTACACTTTTAGTCCAGAGAAGAAAGCAAACAGTAGCTAAATATTAACACAAGGAAGCAAACCTTACAAGAAAGAATATTTTTATTCTTTCTTTTTATTCGTTCATTGAGGAAGATGCAGTCACAGCAATAATGGAGCTTTGGATGCCCTGCTTCCGCTCTTGACTCACCAGTGTTCGCTCTCGCAGAGGAACAAGTCAGTCAGGAAGCCGCACCGCAGCCATGACTTTTTAAAGACACCAGGAAGACACCCATGGAACCAGCGATTCACCGAACTAGAACCAGCCACAAGGTAAAATCTTTGGAGAAGGTATGTGCTGACTTGATCAGAGGCACAAAGGAAAAGAATCTCAAAGTCAAAGGACTAGTTCAGATGCCTACCAAGGCTTTGAGAATCACTACAAGAGAAACTCCTTGGACCCACAAGCTACTCATTGATTTACACAGTCCTTCTGAAATTGTTAAGCAGATTACTTCCATCACTATTGAGCTAGGAGGTGAGGTTGAAGTCACCATTGCAGATGCTTAAATCAACCTTTTTAATAAATTGAGTATCAGTTGTTTAAAAAAAGGGGAAAGAAAATTTTTAAATGCTGGTAGCACAGCAGAAGAAGCAAGTCATTTTACTGGGGAGCAGGGGAAACTGAAGAAAGGGAAGTATCAGGGAAGTATTGTGACAAGAGGTACAGTTTGAATCCGATCAAGTTGAGTAAGTTCAGTATATGTTCAGAGGGAGAGAAAGAATTCCAGGCAGAAAACAGCCTGAGCAAAGACACAGTGGTTGGTATGAAAGTATGTGATTTGGGAAAGCGAAGAAATTCACTATAGTTAGAAGATAAGGTTCATGCAAGTAGAATAACTAGAAAGGCAGACTGCGCCAGATTATGTTGAGTCTATATTAACACATATAACTGTCAATATAGATATCTATATTAACCATTGTATAAATGTTAATATAGAAAGATGGTTCAGTTCCTATATATACTGCCATTATGGAAAATATACAAGAGACATAAAGCACTATCCCTTACCACTAAGGTGACTAACTGTTCCGGTTTGAACAGGACTGGGGAGTTTCCTGGGATGTGGAACTTTTGGTTTTAAAGCCTGCAAAGTCCCAGGCAAACAGAGATGAGTTGGTCAGTGTACTTACTACAAGAATAACCCACAGAAATTTGACCACAATATCCCATAGTGGCTCTGAAAATATAAGCAGTAATCCATTTGGTTTGTTTTTTGCAGGGAGCCTCATTCAATATCTTTAGATTCCCTAGTGCACATCCTCCAGATTTTTGGCACACATACCAGTGTTCATCTTCATGCTTACATAAGAGAGCTACAGGTACCAGAATTTAATACAATGTAAGTAGTGCATGTGGAATGCATAGTGTTGAGATCTTTATCTATAGGCCAATGATTGTCTTTATTCCCTAAAAAGACTTCTGAGTTAAAGACTAATCCTCTCTAACCCTGTCTTTAAGAGGAAATGTGGAAATATATGTACTTAATCCTTTATATATGAAAAGAGCCTCACTATCTCTTGTATCTGATAAGGATTGCAGAGTGATAAAGCATTTGTGTTTTGTGGTCTTCTTGGATGTTATACAACAGAGATGTGGAAATGTTCTGAACGGCTCTTGAGCACTTGAAATGTGGCTGGCGAGACCAGGAACTGAAGTTTTTCTGTTTAAATATTATTTCATTTGTATGAATTTAAACTAATATTTAAATAGCCACGTGTGTCTATTGGCTACTTGTGTTGGACAGTGAAGTTATATAAGAACCACTTCATACACTTTTACTTGGGCTGGAAATAGTGAAAATATTTTTCAGACACTGAGAAATCTCAATCTCAGTTGCTGTAGAGTTCAAATTAGAGCATACTTCCCAGTATCACCAGTTTATTTATGAAAACAAATGTTTGGGCATCTTAAATGAAGCCAAATAAAGTACTATTTCTGCCTTTGCTAATGCAACCTAATCTGTGTTAGCTTTAAAATATCCTTCTGAAGTAAAGAAATACACGTTTTATTTCCAACTCCAGGCGAAATTAAGACTTAATGATTTAATCAAATACATAATATTCATTGATAAAATAATGATTTTCCCCCTGAGATTTTAAGTTTATTGCTCTCAGCTGCACGGTGATGAATCCAGTCAGAGGGCTATAGTCAGAGATGATTATTTCTTAGAAGTATTAATTTAATCTTTTAAAATGTTCTGATTTTTCCTACATCAAAAATTCTTCTTTTGATCTCTCAAGTCTGCTCTGCCCTCACACTTTTCTTTTGCCTTTTACCTCACTATTTAAAATTATCAAATCATTCCTACTTAAAATTTTCAGAAATATGTCCTCAATTTCCTGAGATAAACGCTGGAGAGGATAGGTTTTTGTTGTTGTTGTTGTTGTTGTTTTCATTTGTTTTCTTTATTTTATCAGTAGCTTTTAAATAGTTTGAATTTGTATTTACAGAACAAAAGCTGCCAGGGCTATCTCATTCCATTAAATGGGTCAGAGTAATAAACCAAGAATGTTATATAACCTAAATCAACATTCTAAGGTAATTAAAAAAATTTTAATGTCAGAAGAATGAGATGGTTTGTTTCAGCCTTTATGCCGTCCACCCACCTTTCTCTTCTCTCTTCTAAAATAGACTTCTTGGGGCACCTGAGTAGCTCAGTCAGTTAAGCCTCTGACTCGATTACAAGTCAGATCATGGTCTCAGGGTCATGGTCTCAGGGTCAAGGGATAGATCCCCACGTGGAGTCCTGTGTGGGGCTCCACGCTCAGTGCAGAGACTGCTCGTCCCTCTCCCTCAGCGCCTCCCCCTGCTCTCGAGCATGCATATATCTCTCTCTCTCAAATAAATAAACTCTCAAATAAATAAATAAATATATAAAATCTTTTAAAAAAATATACTTATCTATGGAATTTTAACCATAAATGTCTTTTTATACTCACTTTACACTTTACACTTTTTACACTGGTATTACTTTTTTAATGAGAAACACCATCATGCAGAAACACAAAAATTTTCATAACGTTGTTTCTCAGATATGTTCATATGTGGTGAGCACTATTGCTAGATTTTTTTTTTTTTTAAAGATTCTATTTAGGGCACCTGGGTGGCTCAGTTGGTTAAGCAACTGCCTTCGGCTCAGGTCATCATCCTGGAGTTCCAGGGTCGAGTCCCGCATTGGGCTCCCTGCTCAGCAGGGAGTCTGCTTCTCCCCCCTGATCCTCCCCCCTCTCATGCTCTATCTCATTCTCTCTTTCAAATAAATAAATAAAATCTTTTAAAAAATTCTATTTATTTGAGAAAGAGAAAGAGCATAAGCAGCGGGGAAGAGGCAGAGAGAGAGGGAGAAGGAGAAGCAGACTCCCTGCTGAGCAGGGAGCCCAACGAAGGACTCGATCCCAGGACCCTTTGATCATGACCTGAGCCGAAGGCAGATGCTTAACTGACTGAGCCACCCAGGCACCCCCTATTGCTAGATTATTATGACATGATGATATATTAAATTCCAGTATTCAAACTAATAATTTTTCCAGTATATGACAATATCATATGCTTCTAACACATAGCATGACCACTAACTCTTATTTCCAAAACAAGTAAAAACAGTCTCTAAATTAACTATAATAGGCTACCCTCCCACTTTTCCATTGTATTTGCCGTACTTATTTGTTTAAATGAGCTATAAGATAAAGCAAAAATTTAATAAAAATTATTACAGCAAGGTTAAGATTAAGAAGATTCTATCTACTAGTTTACTTTTTCTTTAAAAATAGTGAAAAAATAGGGGCACCTGAGTGGCTCAGACGGTTAAGCGTCTGCCTTCGGTTCGGGTCATGGGGATCGAGCCCCACGTCTGGCTCCTGGCTCAGTGGGGAGCCTGCTTCTCCCTCTGCCTCTCCCCCTGCTCGTGCTCTCTCTTCTCTCTCTGTGTATCTCTGTGTCTCGAATGAATAAATAAAATATTTTTTTAAAAAAGTGAAAAAATTATTCAATTTTAATAACAAAACACCTAAATCTACCATGAAAAACATTAGTATGATTTGAAACTACTGGTTCAGACTATTCTAAGTTAAACTACATTTTCAACTTTCAGTTAGACACTGTATCCAGGTGCATGTTTGCTCAGTTCCTAGCTATGTTAGAGGCTTTTTTAAACAATAAAGCATAAATTGGAAAAACAAGATCCGGGGAGGGTGGAATCAAAACAATAAAACAAATCCTAGCCCAGATTAAACTTAATTGAATGGTAAATATTTTTATTCTCTTTTCCACTCATTAGCTCAGAAATACCTGGTTTGTCTGACCAGTTAAAATACCAAAAATATAATCCCCCTTTTGGAGAAAGCCTGGCCAAGTAATGGGAAAGACCCAGTTTTCTTAGAATAAATAATCACTGTATCCATTTTTCTAAACCTATATCCAGAAAAACAAATAAAATTAAGGGTAAAAATTTTAAATAGCAATTGTCCACTGCTTTCCCTCCTACCAAAACAACTATTAACATACAGTGTGAAAGAGCAATGCTCTGATTAATTATGCACCAATTTCATCCTAACCTCACTATGCCGCCATCCACTTGCCTACTTGCAGTTTCTCAAACAATTTATGCCTTTTTCCTTGCCCCAGAGTTTTCACACTTATAGCCCGACTCCCCTCTCCCGGATGGCTCTTCTTCTCACTCTTTGTCAGGTTTGCTTACCTACCCATAAGGTCTGAGTTTAGGGGTACCTGGGTGGCTCAGGTCATGATCCCAGGTCGGGCTCCCTGTTCAGCGGAAGCCTGCTTCTCCCTCTCCCCACTCCCCCTTGTGTTCCTTCTCTCGCTGTGTCTCTCTGTCAAATAAATAAATAAAATCTTTAGGAAAAAAAAAAAAGGTCTGAGTTTAAATGCCATTTCTTCAGGGAGGTCCTCATTTTACATTCCTTTCTACTATCCTGTAGTTTTTCTTCCTAGCACTTACCACAATTTGTAATTATACCCACAAACATATACATAAAGTCTCTTACTTTCTAGACTGTAACCAAAAGCTCTCTGTTTTATCCAACACCTGGAACAGTGCCTGGCATAGCTGGCCCTAACACTCACCTTTTTTAAAAATATTTGAATACATAAATATTTTGTAAATTTGACTTACATGAACAGACAAGCAACAACAATGAGATTCCATAGGACTTTATCATTTTGTGCCAAGCCACTCTACCTCCCTTCTCCCTATTGCAACTTAACACCCCCTTAAATCCTTACTAGTCATGTGGTGCTCCTACCAGTGCAAGAATCATTATTCAGTTAGATGACTAATCATGACCTCATTCGGATTCCAACTTCTACAAAATTGTCAACTGCCAGTCATCTTTCCTACAGCAGCCTTCGGTGTCCCTCCCAGAGCACCCAGAGTGTTCTTTAAAACCATAGATCGTGCTGGGATGAGCACTGGGTTAGTTATACTTAACTAAAGAATCATTGAACACTACATCAAAAACTAATGACATACTATACAGTGGCTAACTGAAAATAAGAAAAATAAAGTAAAACCATAGATCACATGTACAAGTACATTGTCATCACCATGATATTTTCAGTATTTTCAAATTGTAGAAGGCTACTGTCATCATCCAGAAGCTCATACAAAAGTGATGAGCTCATTATTTTAGTCATGTGGCACTTGTACCATGCCATCCTTCGGTATGTCCTGCCTTGTAGTGTGACTGACAGACTGAGGTTCTCTTTCTGGCTACAGTAGATTTTAAATGAAAAAGATATGAAATATTCTAGGATAGGCAGGGCAAAAAGAAAGGAAACTACCATTTATTGAGCGCATATGAGCCAAATACTGTACAAACATATATTCTTATTCAGTCCTCAACAACCCTGTGAGGTAGGTAGGTATTATCCCCATTTTACACCTAAGGAACCAATTTTCTGACAATGCAGATTGTCTCTTAAATTTTTCTGTTGACATTAACTTCATTTATTTACTTTTATCCTCCCTATTGTAGAGATTTTGGCAGCTGTATACTAGAAAATCCTACTTTACTCAATAAATACTAATTTAATGAAATAAAGTTTCACAGTACATCAATGAATGATTGAATCAGAAACTACATTCTTCTGTCTCAGATTACATCCTTTTCTAACCCTTTTAAAGACCTTCTGGACTACTAAGCATTCTTGCTTGGCTTTCACATTTCCTACTTATTAAATACACACATAGTACATAGTACATTGAACAACACAGGGATTAAGTGTGCCGACCCCTGCATAGTCAGAAATTTGCATATGACTTTGACTCCCCCAAAACTTAACTCCTAATAGCCACTGTTGACCAGAAGCCTTACCAAAAATATAAACAGTCAACACATATTTTATATGTTCTATATATTACATTCTGTATTCTTACAGTAAATTAAGCAGGAAAAAAAATCATAAGGAAGAGAAAATACATTTACAGGCCTGCACTGCATTTATCAAGAAAAAAACTCCATGGATAAGTGGACCCACATAGTTCAAACCTATGTTGTTCAAGGGTCACCTGTATACTCATCACAGCCTAATCGGCTCTCTAGGCTCAGTCTCCCTAGTTTTATGGGGACCAGGAAGCTAGCCTGATGAACAATAGCTGTTGAATGTTCTTAATCATGAAAGGACCTCTCCAGCTTCTAGTTAAAGGTCGTTCTAGCAGAGTTCACTTGTCTCATAATTAGATAAAAAGAGACTATCTACCTCTTATCTATACCCAAAAGGAAACTCTGAAGTTTTCCTTCGTGGTCCTCCTCCAGTCCTGCATGAACGGACCCGGACTGAAGAACTTTATCTCCTTCCTCTACCTTCTCTTTGAAGGATGACCTTGGTCCACATCTATACTCCTGAGCAAATAGAACCTTTTGATTTTCTTTCTCAACTTCTTTTTCGTCTCCCTGTTCCCTCAGTTGACTCCCAACTTCTCTGGACTCTATAATCTAGATGAAAGCATGCTTCAAGAGGAATCCAGTCTGTGGTGGGAGGACCAGCTTATTTGTGCAATGCCAGACAAACGTGGATTTCTAAGATTTTCTTTGCAATGGTACTATCCACCACATCTACCGTGGGTCTTCGGGATTGAGACAGCAGTAATAAAACTATACTTCTCAGTCTCCAGGGTATATGGAGTGTAGAGCCTCATCGGGCATCATTTTGGGTATCTAGGGAAATGTGTAGGGGAATATCCTATTTGTCCCGTTATGTCCCACTAGAAAGCTATTCTCTGTTCTCGGAGGAATCCATTCCAATAGTATATGATCACTCATAAATGTTTCTTTCCCCAGGATCTTCAGAGGACGCTGTAGTTGTAGGAGAGGCTGTCCATGCTGATACCTGCCACGGCTGCATACAGTTCAGGCACCACCAACTCGGGTACTTGCAACACAGCTTTGTCATTTGCAGTTCGAGCGGCGATTTCTAGGCGTGAGTGTAGCTCTTTAAGTGAGGGGCGGCTCTCCTCACTCCAGCGCCAGCAGGACTTCATAAGACCATACCTGAAAGGGAAACAAGAGAAACTGACTTCCTTGACAAGGCAAATGTTTGAGGAACGTTGTCTCTTCTCCTAACACACCTTAACAACAACAACAATAAAAAACCCTGCACTTCATTCATCTACTTCTCACTGTCCTCTCCTATTTTTACAGAGAATAATATTCCTTCTTATCCTCTTAGTATTAAATCACTTAATACCATCTTCTCATCAGGGCCCTTTTTATAAAAAGAACGACTGAAGATTTCTCAAACTAGAATCAGTATGACAGAACCAAGTTTTTCTTTCTATTGCCCAAAACTCTCAGAAGTTAAGTGTTCTCATCCTTTAGATGTTACTAACTTGTAGCATTCCAGACCGTTGCTATAAGGTATCTCCCGGTAAAAGCTACATCACAGCCAACAAAATAAGAAGTTATGGAATAATATGATTCACACTAATTTTAAATAATCTAATTAATTAGGTGTTTCCTTTCATTAATCCAGGTCATTGCCCTCCTTTATTATTTAGCTTCTCCAGGAAATTGCCTTAATCTAGATAAAAGTACTTACCACCTTTCCGCTGTTATATATGTATGTACATACATATATAAGTATATATGATATATGAGCAGATGTATTTTACTGCGTAGGTGTGTCTAAGGCTGTGTATTAGGATATAAAGGACAGCTAGGGATTATCTGAGCCACTTTAAAAGGGCACAGTTGATGGGGATCAAAAAGGAGTTGCAATGAGAGAAGAGTAGACCCTAAAAACCACTTACATGGTATGTGTGCAGCTAGTGGGTCTCTTCATTATTTTCCTTCTTTGGAGATGTTGTAGGATGCCAGTAGGAGGGACTTCCGGATATGGTGGTGCCCCTGTTGGTATGAAAAAAATGAGAGTAGCAAGGGAACTTTAGGTCCTCTGGAATATGAACTATAACATGACTCTATATCCACCTGGGCTAACTGCCTGCAAAAGGTAGAGCCAAAGGAAAAACGCTAGATACAGTATAGTTGCTCCCCGGTGATCAAGTAAGAATGTAGCTTAGAGAGTTTGGGAGTAAAAAAAGGTGTTTGGGAGGAAAAAAACTGATAATTTAGGAAAATGTTGAGTTTTTACAAAAGTAACAGAGCAAAGTGAGAAGTGAGACCCGCCCTCCACTCCCCAAACATGGGAAAGTACTATATTTTCTCAGATAGGTTTATAAATCTAAGGACAACGTATTTTATACAAAATCATTCTTGGAATTATTCTTTGGATTTTAAAACCTCTTTTGGAATTAGTAAAGTGTTGAGAGAAAAAAAGAAAAAGAAAGCAAAAAAAAAAAAAAGTTAAAAGGAGGAGAGGGATTTCATATCAGCCCAGTTCAAACCTCAGAGATCATACTGAAACCTCTTCCCATAGCATATGCCATCCCCCACCCAAATAAACATACTTGTATATTTGCATACAGGTACTACTTTAGGGACCCTCCTTACCTAGAGTCACCATCTCATAAAGCAGGATCCCAAAGGACCAGCTGTGAAAGAAACAAAGCCATTTACTTAATTTATATTTCTGCCTTTCCTAAAGAGAGTTTACTTAAACTATCAGGGGCCTTCAGTGAGAACCCTATAAAGGCAACGAAGGGGAATTAAAGGTGTCTCAAAACATAAGCAAAGTAATTAGAAAGCATTTCTGTTCAATCCCTTTCAAGTCTAATCTCTTTGCAGACTGGATTTATGTCTCCTTTCTTCTATATTTCACACTAATAGATGTTTACTTTCATTTGCTGAACTGTGTGTGTGTGTTTATGCAAACACACAAACACATCTACCCAAACATAAATTACCTTCCACATCTTTTTCATCCTTCCCATTCATTCCTACTGAAATTCTAGCCTTAAGTCTTAGCACAAGTCTCAGTGAGGTTTATCATTTATCTACTATTTCCTCAATAGATCTAACTGCCCAAACCTAGGAAAAATATTAACAAAACAAGCTTTACATATAATGGGAATAAATATTTGCCAGAGCAATATGATTTAAGACATGTTAATTTCACTATTCTATAAATCACATTAAACAAGCAGTATTTCCCAGTTAAGCTTATTACTCCCAGACCTCTACTGAAAAGCAGATGTCAGTGAAGCAGCAATGGAAATCTCTTAATTGACTCACCATATTAACCGATGTTCTAAATTTCCTCTGCTGCTCATGACATTCATACTAGTAAGATTTTATATGTTACATCTATGTGCTTCGCCAAGCTGCTGAATTATATGGTTACCGAAAGTCAACTGTGATTCTTTCCAGGACTGTTTATACCATCAGATGCATCAGTGTAATTATGTAATCAGTTAAATATAAATGCAAAAAAGTATTAGCTTCTGAAAACTAGGTTGAATGCTTTGAAAGTATTCTATAAAGATATACTGCTAAAAAGAAAGCATTGTCAAATTGTGTGGGTGAGCCAACAGTAGAAAATTAGAAAAAATAATAATAAACTTCTGCAATCAAATTGCTTCACCATTTTTTTCAGATTTCTCACTCAAAATCATCCCAAGCTGAAACTCAAAAATAATGTGTTATGGATGCTATTTATATGAGAAATACAATGTATAACTTCACTTGGCAGGTCAGTCCTCATAAAAAAGCTTTGGCCCTCCCCCAAAAGATCAATCAATAAATGTACATTTATATGTTTTAAGTCAAAATAAATTATTCAAAGTATGTATATTTCTTTTTCTTTTAATAATTCCTGGTTTAACTGAACTTTTGATTAGGTGGACCCACCTCGTTCAGATAAAAGGGACTCTACTAGATTAAGTCCTTGGATATTGGTATAAATAATCTTTTCACTTTCTTTTCTCTTTCCTGATTAAGGCTACTAATCTAATACAGAAGGAATACTTTAAAAGGCACTAAAAAGGATTGCAGCCAGATGTCAAATATGAGCTCTGTCACAAAACACACATTTCTCCTGGAGAGTCTGTCTGACTTCTAAGTAGAGATTTCACATGTAGACATAATTGACAACAGATACAGTCATGGTCAGGAACTGGGGGACATCTAGGTCAAGAAGGGAAGAAGTCCAAAGGGCAGGAACAAACCGTACACGTCTCCTTTGATGCCAGCTGGTCTCAGCAGAAGCCGTTCTGGGGCGAGCCACTTGAGAGGTACGATGTGAGTAGCCGGGATGGCCCCTCGGACATGGACTTCGTAAGCCAGGCCCAGTCCACAGAGCTTAGCAGTAAGATCACTTTGGATCAGGATATTCCTAGCTGCCACATCTCCATGGAACAGATGCTTATCCTGGAGAAATTCCTGTAAGCATAAGATCAAAGATGGATCAGCTGTTTGAGTTCATGGCTTGAGTCACAGACAAGAAGAAGCAGTCCTAGGAATCCTCAAAAAGACAAGGACATTTTCAACTCTGAACAAGTCTCATTGATAATGACATATCACTTCCAAGTCACCATAATGAATCAGACATTTTTGCATTACATTTAGGATTACCAAACTGAACATATAATCCAAATAGCATTAATACTGGGTTTGGAAAGTATGATCACCCATTCTGTGTCAAGCTCTGACCCCTGCCTGAATTTACATTTCTCTCAGATAGGATCCAGCTACACCCTGGAAAAGGAAGCAGGTTTCAAGTTTCTAGCAGCAGTCCCCCAAACAAGGTAATACATACATAGCGAAATGAGTGTCATAATAATGAATTTATACAGAGCTTTATATCATCTCATTTTGTCCCTAAAATAACTAGGTCAGATAAATCTAAATGATTACATTAGATCACACAGTTTTGAGTGGTAGTGACCAGAACCAGGTATTCTAATTCATAGGAATTAAAATTACAAATTCTAATAATTTTCAAGCCAGCCTACAAATCAGAATTGCCAGAGAGCTTTTTAAAAACTTATGATTTTTGCCCCAGCTTTACTTAACCAAAATCTAGGGAGAAGGAACTAGTAATCTCTATTTTTAAGAAGTATCATAATGATTCTAGCACAGCCAACAAAGCATTTGAAAACCATTGCACCTGGATGACAATGATTTGCTGCAATCATTTCCCCCAACATCAGCCTATTCAAGGCATAAGAAGTTGAAAAGCTATACATGACCAAAGAGCTAGAGATTGAGGTCTATGATTGCTAAATAAGAATGACATTAAAAAAAAGGGGGGTGGTTTAAGATGGTCATTTCCAGTCATTGATGATGGAGGAAACAGTAACTAGCAGTTTTCTGTCCCTGGTGAGGTGAGGTTTTAAACAAAGAAATTATACTATCATGAGAAGAATAAAGAATTAGTGACTTTGAGGTTGTCAAAGTAAGAAAAAAAATAGTATGACAATGCCTTGTAACTGGTAACCCAAAGCCCTGATCAGTGCATCTCTGTGGGGCACCACTGCAATTGTGGCTCACAATACGAGGTAGGTTGTATCCTGACACCCTAACTTTATCAAGGGAGCATACCAACTAGGACCTCCAAACACCGTAGATAATATTCATTTCTACAATGTGCTCTCTCCTGTGCCCCATGGGAACTTCGGCTGTAACTACTGCTCTTTTTCACCTCACTGCTTTCCTAAGTTTCCCAGATTCCATTTAGATCCCTGGTACGTTTCACACCTCAAGGAGGCAAGATATGTCAAATACTTGAAACAGTAGCTTCACAGAGCCTGATTTTCTATATAGCAAATGCTAATTTTAAGCAAAGTTATCTAAATAACTTCATAGAAATTGTCATCTAAATTTCCTAATTCTGGTAAAGGTACTTTTTATTTTCTCTTAAACCCTTTTTTTCTCTTACCTCTTTATTTAAGTTGGTTTAAAATGAAGGAATGATCTCACTGTTGCCCCTTCTTATTTCTTTTTTTCTCGTGTTCCTTGTTCTTTTTAAAGTATATGTATTTCCTATCACATTCAGTATCAAAGCAAGTCTCCAGCCAAGCGTGTTCTGAACTCGTCTTTCTTGTTTTTCAGGCATAAAATTGTGCACTTCCTTCTAGCTCTGCAGCCTTTCACCCATTTGGTTTGTCTTCCCGTGTCTCCTCCCAACTCGCTCGCTATTTGCCATCTTACATCTCTTAATATTAGTATATATGGGGAAGTAAGAGTGTCAAGCATATATCTCTTGGCCCTGGTTTTTGACCTTTAAGACTGAGAAACTTTTAAAATCCTTCCTGTTCCTTCTACAAACCCTAAGTTGATGACTTTCTGCCTAGAATTACCAATCCTGTGTATATTATCTAAATAATTTCATAAAGAAAGAACTGAAAACAATTTATCAGTGCTTGAGTTTCTGCCCATTAACTTCCATCTGATTTTCTTTATAATATATAGCCCATTTGGAAATATAAATATGAGAAATATGATGTCAAATATCAGACTAACAAGAAAAATCCATACCATCTGTTGTCATTTTTCCCAGCCTTACCAAAGCCCGGAGGACCTGCCTCCCGATGTGATATACTTGTTTTTCTGTGAGATCATAGAGAAGGCCATCCATGGTCATCACATCCTAGAGAGACAAAGAAAAAACATGATATCAAAATGACATGAACAGATCTAAAAAATAAAATAGGGGCAGAGATATTCTTAAATGCAGATGTCAAGGCAAAGATACAAAAACATAGGGATGAAAATTCAAGGAGAGGCTAATATGAGAGATTCTCAGATATGCAAAGAAGTACAATGATATATTGACCTAAAAAAAACAATAAGGAATGTAGATAAATAACCAGAATGAAGGAAGAACAGAATAGCAGGTAGGAAAGACAGATATCGTAAGACTATCCCCTGGATAAAGCAACAATTTTCCTGGGGCACCGTGTGTGTGTGTGTGTGTGAATAATTAAGCGCATTAAGTCAACACATTATTGAATGACTACTATGTGCCAGGTTCCATCTTTGGAACTCAGAACACAAGAGTGAGCAAAATAAACATGTCTGCTGCCTTCTGGAACTTAAAGTGTGACATCAGAATCAAATAATCATACATAAATATATGGTTACATGTCTATAAGCTCCATGAAGGACATGAAAAAGAGCATATGATGGTGACAAAAAAGATCTGAAGGATGAGTGGACAATGACTATGCAAAAAAAAAAAGAAAGGGAGAAGTTTGATGTAATGAGAGAAGCATGTGTAGATGGTCTAAAATAGAGAAGCATAATCGTTTTAAAAACTAGAATAGCGTAGAGCAGAGAACAAGTTACAGATGAATAACCTCTTACAAAGGCCTAAATGCCTAAAGACTTGCACATTGTCCCATTTGCACCACTGGATGTAAGGCATTAACAGGGTCCCTTTATCATACACATTTAGCAGTAAAGTAATCAGTCTTTTGAGGAGGCTTGATTAATATTGAACTTGTTCATTGGTAAGTGAGGAACTAACTAGGGAAACATGCAGTACTTCAGAAAGAGGAATATGTAGAGAAGCAGAAAAACTGCAAGCAAAAGGACTTGCATTTTAGCCTGGAAATTTCTAAACATTTACCTTTTTTTAAATATGAATTTGAAGTACAAAAACTTTCAAGCTGAATGTCTCCTCATCAACCCTGGCATACTAGAGGGATGTTATGGAATAGAAGACACATTTAAGGCTAACAGCGATAAAATTACAGTCAATACTAACAAAAGTTTTTACATGCATAATTTCTGTTAATTTTAATAATAACTTATTATTATTCCCATTGTACAGATGCAGAAAATTCAGGCTCAGAGGGATGACTTGCCCAACAAAGTCACATCGCTCATAGGATATAAAGCCGAGAGTTCATACCCTAAATCTGCACTGCCCACTATGATAGCCATTAGCCACATGTGGCTGTTGAGAAGTTTATTATTTAAAACTAAATAAAATTTTAAAAATTCCATTTCCCAGTCACATCAGCCACATTTTAAGTGCTCCATAGCCGCATGTGATTAGTGGCTAACATTTTGAACAGAGCCCATAGAGAATTTTTCTGCCATCATAAAAAATTCTATGGGATGGTGATACTTAATCATTATTATGTTCCTATAATGCCTCTGCTTTGTCGTTTGCCAGGCTATTTGACATGTGACCAGCTAATCAGCCAGGTCAAGCCTTTCCTTCCTAATGCCTCTGCCCTGCTGCTCACCCGCCGACAGGTCCAGAGAAAGCTGAGCAGGTCCCCTTGGGCCACATCCTCCAGCAGCATATAGAGCGGCAGCTCCTCTGTGCAGCAGCCTTGCAGCTGCACCAGGTTCTCATGCTTCCCCAGGTGCTGATAGAATTGGATTCGCCCTAAGAAATCCTGCACCTCATGGAGACCAGCCGGTTCTGTGGCAGACAGATGAACCAGGGGAAGCAGTCAGAACATCACCAATAAAATGGGAGGTATGAGGGAGGAAGCAACCTCAGATGGTAATTTTCAAGACTCCAAAGGAGAATAAGTATAGACAGAAAGTAAAGAGAAAGGGAACTAATTAGAAGATAATTTCAAGGTCACTGATTTTTTCTTGTCAAAACAGAGAATCATAGGCCTTAGAACTGGATAGACTTTCATCTGCCTAAAGAGACAAGTGTTCACATTCAAATATTATCACTGCCTAGGCCTTTTGATTAGTATTCGTGCTTATCCTATCCTTGTTCTGTTTTATGTATCTGCTACTACTGGTCCATATAAAGAGAAAAAAAGAAAAGAAGGAAGGGAAGGAGGGAGGGAGGGAGGGAGGGGGGAAAGGAAGAAAGAAAGAAAACAATATTAGGGAAAGTGATAGTGCAGACAAATGAAGGAACAACCTCAAAATCCATATGCACTAATATCCAGTATGAAAAAAATCAGTTTTTTTCATATTGGTATCAGTTCTAGCAACCTCAACAGGCATCACTGAGCTAGGGAAAAACCCCAAGAAAAACATTTCTGTCTCAAGTTTTCATTTTCTATCCCCTTCTTACTCAGCTCACAATTGTGATCACAGCTATTTGTTGATTAACATCTTAATGTCTGTAAGCTTGTTAGCATTCATGGCTGGGGGCTCACAATGGAAAAGTAAAAAAGGGAAAGGGAACTCAAACACTTCTTTTACCTTTCAAAGCCTTGAGGACAACACTCTTTGGCTTAGCAGGGTCCCCAGTGTACATCTTGGTTCGATAGATGGCCCCACAACTACCACTGTGGATCTGCTCCAGAACTTCAGAGAGTTGCTCCCGGGGCACCTGCAGCTTAGCCAGAGCATGAGTGGTAGTTCGTAGGAGGCTTTCCACCGATGTCTCCTTAAGTGGCACAAACACACTTCCTCCATGTCCTGCCGCCTCCCAGCTTAGGCCCCTAGATGGAGGCACAGGGGCAATGCCTAGAACAAAGAGATGATACCAATCATCTTTTCCCTACCCTAGGGACTCCAGGAAAGCAGAGCCTGGAACACACTGGCAAGGAAGTTCCTTTAGCAATTTTCTCTCTGCCCGATGTGGGGATACCTGCTGTGAACCAGCATCAATGCCAACCTTGTGAAACATTTATAATAACCCTATTACTTCTAAGACAACTCAAGATGGACCTCTGGAAAGTGGTAATGACATTTTCATTCTACTCTTCTCAGGATTACAGTTCAGTATTAGTATGGAAACAAGTAAGGAAGTTCCTGAGTTGGTACTCAAACCACAGATACCCGAAACGTGGTGGTCACTACCAGTAGGGACTAATGCTTAAGTCAATCAAATGGCTTTTAAAGGTGGAGGGAAGGTATGGATAACTACTCAACTCTAAGCCGTGCCTATTCTTCCTCCCTTAAGATGTCCCCAAAGTCAAATTGCATATTTCCTAGAGTCTCAGTCAAAAAAAAATCTTCTAGTACTTTCCCCTTTCCTTGCTCAGTTTTTCTCCATTGGAAAAGAGAAATTCATTCTTCTCATTAAACCTCCATTCATTCATCAATCTATCCATTTATTTGGCAAATATCACGTCCTGCATGCCAGGAACTGTTCTAGGTGTTGGGAATAGCCAAAGCCCAGATTCTTATGATTACTTTCTAGTGGTAGGAGAGAGGGGAAACAGATAATAACATATAAGGAGATAAGTGTTATAAAGGAAAATAGCAGAATCAGAGGCTATCCGTGATGCTATTTTATATTTCAAGGCCAGGACAGGCCTTTCTGATAGGATGAACATTTGAGAAATGCCTGGAAGCAATTAGAGAGCAAACCATACTGGTATCAGGGAGGATATTACAGACAGAGGGAACAGGAAGAGCAGAGGTATTGAGGAAGAAGCATACTTGGCATATTTGAGGAAAAGAAATGAAGTTAGTACAGCTGGAACCATGTGGGATAATTGGAGAATCATACGAGATGAGGCCAGAGAGGGCCCAGGACATGGAAGGTCATTGGAAGAATTTTGTCTTTTTTATTCTAAAAAAGAATTATATTTTATTTTATTCCAAGCAGAGAATGATCAGGACTGACTTAGGCCTTAAAAGAATCATTCTGCTGTCCTGTGGAGAACCATAAAGGGACCGGGAGAGAAGTAGGGAAACCAGTTAGGAGTGTATTACAACGATCTATGAAAGATGAGAGACACTTGAGTTTCTTCTAAAGATAGAGTTAACAGGATTTGCTGATGGATTGGATACAAAATATGAGAGAAGAGGAGTCAAGGACATCTGCAAGATTTTAGACTGAACACTTCATAGAAAACCAGAGGACATTTGTGAGGGAATTTCAGGACCTTTGCTGTGGGCATATTACATATGAGATGTGTATTGGATCCAAACTGCAAAATAAGTGGTTTAATACAGGAATCTGGATTTCAAGGGGGACTACAGTTAGAATAGAGAAAGGGTTTGAATCCCTAAGACTGAAAACGAGACCATTAAGGGAGTGACTATAGGTTTAAAAGGAAAATAAAGTGTTTCAAGAAGGAGAAGGTGCATAATTGTTCCAAATGCTTTTGACAGGTTAAGAAGAGGACTCAATATAGCTGTTATTGGCAATCTCTGAAAGAATTGTTTTGGTGGAGTGGTGGGGATAAAAGCCTTATTTTAGTATGTTCAAAAGAGAATGTGACAAGTAGAAGTCATGAGAGTGAGTTTAGACAACTTCTCTGAGAAGTTTTTCTGGAAGTGAATTAGGAGAGAATTGGGATAATTTTTTAAATGTTTTATTTAAATTCAATTTAGTTCACATATAGTGCATTATTAGTTTCAGGGGTAGAATTTGGTGATTCATCAGTTGCTTATAATACCCAGTGCTCATTACGTCAAGTGCCCTCCTTAATGCCCATCACCCAATTACCATTTAGAGAGGGAATGGGGATCAGCCACTAAACAGTTTCTGATCACTGTCATGATTTTTTTTTCTCCTCCTTACTCTTAGTTTCATGTAAGCTAATTCACTTTCATTATATGCTCACCGGTACTTCAGAACAGGATATTATCTCCTACTTAATGTTTCAAAGACTGCTATGAAGGCTACCCTTTTTCATCATATAGTCCAGGAGCACAGAGGAGGACTGGGATCTATTACAGAGTAAAATGTCATCCTTCGAGGCTGGTAACAAAGCCTTGGGCTTTACCCAGTAATCTTCCTCCCCAATATGTAGACACTCGCATGGCCAAATATTTGATAGTGCAATAGGACAAAGAAGATAGAAACAGGTCACATGAAGCCTCTCTTGCCTACTGTTGTTTCAACTAGCAAGCATATACTGCGTTTCTACTCATGACTTCCTAGAGAAGAGCTCACCTCCCCTCAGCTCCACAAGAGGGACCCCATACCTCCTCTCCCATAGCAGGGACTTGACCTTCTAGACTTGGGCTCATTGAGACTTGGCTCTTACTTTCTGTAATCTCCATCTTCCCCGGCCCTTCTCCCAGCCCCAGTTTGAGTTTTACCTTGGAGTCCAGGAGACTGTTGTTGAGCTCTTTGTCCTCTGATAAAAAGCCACAGGATGACTGCAAGAAGGATAAGGAAGGTGCCAACCAGAATGGTTGGGATGATGATGATCTCATACTGCTGCTCCCGGACAACTGGGTAGGAAATCAAGCAGGAGGAGGAGAGATTGAAGAAGAACCCCAATCTGATGTCCACACAACTTCCCCTACCCACACAGTCCTCAGCTCCTCATACGTGAAATGATCATTTCTTCCTTCTTCCCCTCCATTTCCAAACAATGGAACCACTATTGAGAGCAGCTCTCTAATCAGAAACCCCAGTGTCCCCACTTCTCAGCCTATCAAGTGTGCTCTGTGTCTCATCTCTCATTTTTCCTGCTGAGGTGAAGGATGCAGCATCTGGATCTCTGATTGGCACTTGTCCCTCTTCAAAGACAATGACCTCTAGTGCCCATTCCTTTATGAACACCGTCTTCATTTCTACTAGAAGTCAACTCATCCTCCTAGAATCTATGCAGAACTTCGTCTCTGTCATCCTAGAATCAGAAGATAGGCATCTGTGGTGTCTGTCCTTACCACACAGCTTGTCACTGAGACTGCATTCCAGTAGCTTTCGTGCCATGCCCCTCTCATCTCCCAGGCCACACAGCTGTCCACTCCTTTGCTTGGCCCCCAGAGAATGCACAGAGCACCACTGAGAATAATTCCCAAGGGTGAAATTATTCTGAAAAAATAAAATGGAGCATACAGAGAGTTTTAAGATACCTCAAAAGATCATTAGGTATTAAGTACATCAGTACCTGGAACTTTCTTTTTTTTTAATTTTTTATTGTTATGTTAATCACCATACATTACATCATGAGTTTTTGATGTAGGGTTCCATGATTCATTGAGTGTGCATAACACCCAGTGCTCCACGCAGAATGTGCCCTCTTTAATACCCATCACCAGGCTAACCCATCCCCCCTCCCTCCTCCCTTCTAGAACCCTCAGTTTGTTTTTCATAGTCCATCGTCTCTCATGATTCATCTCCCCCTCCGAAGTACTCCCCTTCATTCTTCCCCTCCTGCTATCTTCTTTTTCTTTTTTCTTAACATATATTGCATTATTTGTTTCAGAAGTACAGATCTGTGATTCAACAGTCTTGCACAATTCACAGCACTCACCATAGCACATACCCTACCCAATGTCTATCACCCAGCCACCCCATCCCTTCCACCCCCCACCACTCCAGCAACACCCAGTTTGTTTCCTGAGATTAAGAATCCTCCTATCAGTGAGGTCATATGATACATGTCTTTCTCTGATTGACTTATTTCACTCAGCATAACACCCTCCAGTTCCATCCACGTCGTTGCAAGTGGCAAGATCTCATTCCTTTTGATGGCTGCATAATATTCCATTGTGTATATATACCACTTCTTCTTTATCCATTCATCTGTCGGTGGACATCTTGGCTCTTTCCACAGTTTGGCTATTGTGGACATTGCTGCTATAAACATTGGGGTGCACGTACCCCTTCGGATCCCTACATTTGTATCTTTGTGGTAAATACCCAGTAGTACAATTGCTGGATCGTATAGTAGCTCTATTTTCAACTGTTTGAGGAACCTCCATACTGTTTTCCAGAGTGGTTGCACCAGCTTGCATTCCCACCAACAGTGTAGGAGCGTTCCCCTTTCTCCACATCCCCGCCAACATCTGTCGTTTCCTGACTTGTTAATTTTAGCCATTCTGACTGGCGTGAGGTGCTACCTGGAACTTTCTGAGTCATCCATTCATCTCTATCCATCTACCTGATATTCAAGTGTGAAGAACTTTGTTTTTTCCTAGCATTTTCCCCCTTTCTATTATACAACAAGTATAGCCTTGATCTGGCCTTATCCTTTCATGCCATTGTTTCTCAAATTATTTAAAGGTTCCCCTCCTACCCAAAACCCCTGCTCCAATGCTCAAGTTCATGTTCACACCACCCGTCTGAGCAATTGTGGTCCATGGGTTATATGGAAATGATCTACCTCCCCTATAATCCTAAGCAGGTTTAATATTTTCTTTTCTGTGTATCACTTATTTTTTAATGGGAGCTTCCCCTGGTCATTATATATAGACAGACACAGGCATTCAGTCCTACTAGTATATAGATTAAAGGGAGTATCCAGAACCAAGCCATTTTCTTTCTCTCTCTCTTTAACTATATAATATATACATATATGTGTATATATTCATAAGTTACAAAAATAAAAAATTAAAGTGCTATACCATAAAAATCTTTCTCCTACCCCATCCTTCTACATTTATTCAGTTCCCAATTCTCCTCCAAGTAAACTAGTTTCTTGCTTACTGGGCCAGAGATTCTTTAGGTACATCACTTTTAATTCTGTATGATCAACATATATTTGAAATTCCACCTCCCCAAACCTGGTCCTTTCTTTCTAAAGAGAGCTGGTATATATATATACACATATATATATATATACAAACTTTATTTTGCCCTTGGTAAACGAAAGTCTTCCCTGGTTCTAATTAATTCTGATGGATCTGGGGGGAAAAAATGGTGATTTTTTTTCAGTGTCTAGGTGATCCTAAGTGTGTGATCTAGTTTTGTAGTGATTTGATAACAAGGTAAAATTTTACAAATCAGAATTACAGAATACTATATTGTACATAAGTGCTATTCGCCATATTATGCGGTCTTCTATTACATGTTGTGCTTTATTATTGATACTAATAACCACAATGTGACTTATTGAGGCAGAGTCCCTTAGTGCCTGAAACACATATATAAAGAAACCTTCCAGTTCCAGCCTCACCCCCTTTTCACTATTCTTGAAGCTCCGTGATTGGGAGATGAGAATTAGACAATTTTCTTACAACTCAGAAGAAAGACAAGTGTGTGGTTGGTTGACAGAAGCCCATGTATACAGAGAAGTGGCCAGGAGGAAAACTGGGGAGAGGAAAGTCACCTTCTTATCTGTGGGCTTGTACATAACAAGGGATCTATGAAGTCAATGAATTATAAGATAACAAAGTCCATCTCATCTAGTTTATAAGTCAAGAAAGCAAGGTGAAAGGGAGTTGAGAAAGTTTCCACAGTTCCACAAGACCACAAGGAAGGAAAGCACTGGTGCTAGGGCAAGAATCAGGGGGCCTTGAGATGGTAGAGAAAGAGAAGAGCTTAAATAATAAAACATTAGCACAGTCCAGAACCAGGAAGCTTTTGAATAAAAGCTGCTTGAAAATGTCTCACTGCCATTCTCATTCTTGTTCTCCTTTCCTCTTACTTCCTTTTCAGTGCACTATCAGATGTAATTGTGTTCATTCAGGGAGCAGCCAGTTTAACAAGTTTGGCTCTCCAGGGGAGTGTTCTGTGAGCATAATCTCTCTTAACCACAGTACAAGTGGAAGAAAAAGTCAGTCAGCAGCTGGCTCCAGCTTGGAAGCTCTGCCCAGAAACGAAACTACACACCCACTAATACATACCAAAGGAAGACATTTAAAGGCCTGTGTGTACACGTATCCTCACTTAGAACTGCTCATGGTGGCCCAAACTGAGCTATAGGCACATGGCCAAACATACCCACCCACACGCAGTGACTCAAATCCATGCTTATACCCTTGCACCTACATATCACACTTAATTACAGAGCACAGTGTGGTCATTTGGATATAGTATGACCTTCTATTACATTTCCTGAACAAGGTTCATTTGTGTATCTTTATTTGGGCATACATACTTTAAAGAAGCTGGCTTAGTAACAACAAGAAACCCAAAATAATTGAATGCTAGACCAAGGAAACAAACGTGTAGGGCTATGGTGAGGGCCACTCAGTAGATTGCTTTCCAGGCATTTGTACAATAAGCTCTTTCCAACTATTAGAGTTTGGCTAGAGACATATGGAATATATGAAATGCGTCCAGAATTTTTAAGGTGAACACACCAGGCATACCCACCCCCATAGGCATGGAAGCCTACGTAGGAAACCTTACCACCTCTAGAGCCCACCAAAGCACTTATATCAGAAGATGCTCATACTCACTTGTAGCAACAATATTCCTCTCACATTGCTTTTCTCTCTGCAGTTAAATATTCAATTACCACATGACTTTGCCTGTCCACTGTGTCAACCTGAGAAAAGACATGCCTTGATGCCAGAACTTTCTAGGATGACTCTTCCTATTGGTTAGATTCTAACCTATCAGTGTTCTTGACCAACATTTCTATACAATATGACCAATACTCTACCCCTTCGATTACATCTAGACAGTTTTCTCACTGCGTTAATACAAAAATGTAAGGGCGCCTGGCTGGCTCAGTCAGTAGAGCATGCGACTCTTGGTCTCAGGGTTGTGAGTTTGAGCCCATGTTGGGTGTAGAGATTACATAAAAATAAAATCTTCAAAAAGAAAAAAAGAAATGTATACTGGCTACTCTTCTCTTACCTAGACTGTAAGGTCCTTACATATATAAAACATTATTCCACAGTTCTCTCCTTAGTGCCATGTATTACTAGTATTACTGGAAGCCATTGGAATCAAGGATCCAGTAAAGTTGGGAAATTGTTTATTCTGATAATTCCATTTAATGGTTGGAAAACATGTACACAGCTTGCCTATAGTTTACACATACCTACATCTAACAGTGCCAAATCTCCTCAGGCAGGGCTCTAATTAAAACAATATTATTCCCTCATTTGTGGTTATCATTTCTTATCTTCTCTCTTCTCAATCACTTCTGACTTTCTGTCGGCATATTGAAAAGTTCAGCTCCCTTCCTGAATTGAGAATCTAGAGTAGGAAATAGCACAATGAAGAAGGAGATACAATAGGAAGAAAATGAGAGTGAAATGAGGGGTAAAGTTCAGCCCAAATCTTCGCAAGACTACAGTCTGGACACCACACAAGTGAATGGTTATAACTGAAATTAAGCTAATTGTAAACATAAACTCTCCAAACTCTTACACAGAGGCACAACGCAAGCATAACACCATGCCCCATCTTTATATCTGTTTCATTACACACAAACACAGTTTTGGTTGCAAGAATAACACAACTCCTACTAGCAACACTTCTGTCCGGTGAGCACAGTATAATCTCCCAGATACAGTCAACAATTTACTCAGGAGTATCCAGAAGAAATTCTTCTTACCAAATACACTTACAAATAGAACTTTAAAAATTAGATCCATTCTCCTGTATTCCATCTGCCTACGTGGTGTGAGAAATTCCTTGATTGACCTCCGTATAACACCTGGCGCCATTACCATAAGATACGATTAAATGTTACACCAGCCTCACCCTCAACCTCACCACCTGTGTATCAACACAAGTGGGTCCACCAGCCATGTTCTTTTTATGAAGACAAGTGACCCACTCACCCACATGGATGCCACACTGGGTAAGGGAGTTACTAATAGCTATGAGCTCTGAGGCAGAGGACTCAAAGAGTTCAGGTGAGAAGGGTGAAATATATGGAGGTAGTAGCCCCCAGACTGAAGCAGTCCACCCTCTACCTCACTCACCTTCTCTTCCCCTCCCCCTTCATCCTTATCCTTGAGCAGTCTGGTAAAACAAAACAAAAACAAAAAACCATTTACTGGAATGAACATGTTAAATTGGAAATGAGAGGGGCGCCTGGGTGGCTCAGGTCATGATCCCGGGGTCCTGGGATCGAGGCCCACATCGGGCTCCCTGCTCAGTGGGAAGCCTGCTTCTCCCTCTCCCAC